GTCCCGGGGTTCCAGGATCGAGTCCCACGTCAGGCTCCCTGCATGGAGCCTGCCTCTCCCTCTGCCTGTGTCTCTGCCTCTCTTTCTCTCTCTCTCTCTCTCTCACTCTCTCTCTTTCTGTGTCTCTCATGAATAAATAAATAAAATCTTTTAAAGGGATCCCTGGGTGGCTCAGCAGTTTAGCCCCTGCCTTCGGCCCAGGGCGTGATCCTGGAGTCCCCGGATCAAGTCCTACATCGGGCTCCCTGCATGGAGCCTGCTTCTCCCTCTGTCAGTGTCTCTGCCTCTCTCACACATCTCTGTGTTTCTCATGAATAAATAAAATCTTTAAAAAAAATCTTTTTAAAAATATATATATATATTTTTTTAATTTATTTATTTATGATAGTCACAGAGAGAGAGAGAGAGAGAGAGAGAGGCAGAGACATAGGCAGAGGGAGAAGCAGGCTCCATGCACCGGGAGCCCGATATGGGATTCGATCCTGGGTCTCCAGGATCGCGCCCTGAGCCAAAGGCAGGCGCCAAACCGCTGCGCCACCCAGGGATCCCAAAAATATATTTTTTAAAAGGAAGAGAATCTGCTCCAAAGGAAAATTGAAAACAATACTTAAAAAAATATATATGAAAAAAAAATAAAAATAAAAATAAATTAAAAAAAATATGTTATTTATTTGAGAGACAGAGAGAGAGTGCACACAAATGGGGGGAGAGCCCCATGCAGGGCTCAATCCCAAAGCAAAGGCTTAATCCCAAGGCAGATGCTTAACTGACTGAGCCACCCAGGTGCCCTGAAAACAATCCCCTTGAACCTAGAAGTACCTTAATTATTCTAGTTCTATGTCATAAATTCCTCTTATGTGCTTATTTGTTGAAGAATCTAAACATAGGGCAGCGCCGGTGGCTCAGCGGTTTAGTGCCACCTTCTGCCGAGGGTGTGATCCTGGAGACCGGGGATCGAGTCCCACGTTGGGCTCCCTGCATGGAGCCTGCTTCTCCCTCTGTGTCTCTCATGAATAAATAAATAGGTTCTTTTTAAAAAAAAAAAAAAAAGAATCTAAACATAAGACATTGTATAATTTACTAAGCACTTTGTTAAGTTAAATATTCATCCAGGATAGACGGCTTAAGCTCAGTTTTTCACCAAAAGGGACAGATTTCCTGGTTGTATATTCCTCCTAACTAATGAAAAAAGATAAGGATTCTCTGGTATTTATTATAGGGGCTCTCTGAACTCACCCAAAGTATAAACTCTGTGTTTAAAAAATGTTATAGGGACGCCTGGGTGGCTCAGCAGTTAAGCGGCTGCCTTTGGTTCAGCGTGTGATCCTGGAGTCCCACCTCAGGCTCCTGCAGGGAGCCTGCTTCTCCCTATGCCTCTCTCTCTGTCTCTCACTCTCTCTATGTCTCTCGTGAATAAATAAACAAAATCTTTAACAAAAGAAAACATAAGGAAGAGAAAATACATGAACAACTATACACTGTATTTATAAAAAAAAAATCCTCATATAAGTAGACCCACATAGTTCAAACTGGGTGTTCAGAGTCAACTGTAGTCAACATTCTGCAGTTGTCCCAAGGATGATTTGATGCATCAAAAAGAAGTACTTCTTAAATTTTAATTTGCATCTGAATCACCTGAGAACCTGGGATCTGGAGGGGGGCTCAGAGTCCACAGGCTAAGAAGCTCCTGCTAGTTCTGAGTAACAAAACCCTATACTCATCTCGTCCTGAGCCCCTAATCTGCCCAGGGGAATACAAGATGACCCTAGAGTCTGTCTTCTTTATGATTTGTGCCAGATCACTTTCTTCCAAGCTTGTGAGGAGCTGGCAATAGGTTTTAAGTCTAATTTCAGCTATCGTATAAAATGCATGAGATATCTTGGTTTGTAATTTAGATACTTAGAATATCAGATCTGGTCTAACTACCTCATTTAACAAAAGGGGAGGGATCCCTGGGTGGCTCGGCGGTTTAGCGCCTGCCTTCGGCCCATGGTGTGATCCTGAAGACCCAGGATCGAGTCCCACGTCAGGCTCCCTGCATGGAGCCTGCTTCTCCCTCTGCCTGTGTCTCTGCCTCCCTCTCTCTCTGTGTCTCTCATGAATGAATAAATAAAATCTTTAAACAAGATAACAAAAGGGGAAACTAAAGGAACTCAGAAGTTATGTAACTTTGGTTCTATTACCAACAATCAGCGGCTGAATGAGCTGGGTTTCCGGTGTGGCTGTTAACACTAACCAGCTTCTCTGTTCCAGAAATCCCTCTCACACTTACATTTCTTTTGGAAAACAGATTGCAAGTAAGAGTTCATGTGTTATCTGGATTCAATATCTTTCTGGAGCCTGAACCAAGAGTAAGAATAGGGGTTGTGAGGCAGGATGTTGACTCAATACTGTATGGCTGAGTCCTCTGCGAAGTGAGTTGGATGATAAATAGCCTCTGTTAGCCTCTAGGATCTAATACAGTGGCAGATAATTTTCAAGCCCCTACTAACATCATGAAAAAAAAAAGTATCAAGGGATCCTAGCAGAGCATACAGAAAAGTAAGACAGTGTGGGGACAGGTAAAGGATGATACTCTACACATGTGAAAAAACACCCATTTCAACACTCAGAAGGCTGCTTTGTGATACCCGATGGACTTAGTACAAGAGGTCTTCCCACACTTGGAATGGTGACCTCCATTCCCTGTTTTATCTCAGAGGATGGCTCTAAAAGCCATGAAATTAAGAAAAAAAAAAAAAGCCATGAAATTGCCACAAATGCAGAATACAGCCAGGCAACATTCAAAGCCATCACCTATTTAGCCCTTTCTCCCCCATAAACTAGCCAGATAGCAGCCGGATATGTCAGGGAAGAAGGTAGAGTCACATGCCACCAGTAATTTGGAGGTGGGAAGGTAAGTAAAATATCATGACCCACTGCCTTTGGGAAAAGTAAGCATAAATTCCTACTTATGCATTAGAACCAGGAAGGAAATGGGAATCAGGTTGAAGGGTGAGCAGAATATGCCACCCCAAGAGACACCACTCTGGCATACTGAGCACATTGAACCGACGACTATGGGGAAGAAGCTGACAGAAGCAAAGCTCTCTGCCTTCCTCCATTTGCCTAAAAGCAGAACATAAATTTGTCGAATTGTCTCCCCTCCCCTCTGTTCCAGGAGAGGTGGAAGTTAGGGAAGTGAGCCTGGAGATGGCGCCAGAAGAGCTACATAATCTACAGAAGAGCTACACCTTCCACATCTTCTGTTAGTTCCACTTCATATAATTAGTTACCTTCCTCACAATTTGCCCCCCCTAGAAGCTCCAAGTCTCCCTCTTGTCATTTCTCTACAAAGTTACTACTCTTGGCTAAGATGCTCTACAGACAGGCTCAAGTTCCAACCAGGTGTCTTCACCATGCAGGTGCAACTAAATTCTGGTGGTGAATCTGTCTTTGGTTAGTCTAATTGACAAGCCCCCCAGCCAGTGAATCTAAGATAGGAAGAGGAAAGTACTTCTTTCCTTCACTCCAGGGTTTTATGCCATCTGAATCAGATTTAGCATGAGAAGCTCCAGACTTCCCTACTTAGTGTGAGAAGGGAGGAGAGAAGCCTACCACAAGCACAGAACTCTTAAAAACTGGAGCCACAGAACTGTACATTTCAAAATAATTAAAATGGTCCATTTTATGTATGTATCTTTTACAATTTTTTAAAAAAGAAAAAAATTAGACTCGTCTCTCCCTCTCAATTTACAGATGGGGAAACAGGCCCAGTGTCAGATCAGAAGCCAGAATGGGGCAGCCCGGGGGGCTCAGCAGTTTAGGGCCGCCTTCAGCCCAGGGCCCCATCCTAGGAGACCCAGCGCCAGGCGCCCTACAAGGAGCCTGCTTCTCTCTCTCTCTCTCTCTCTCTCTCTCTCTCTCTCTCTCTCATAAATCAATGAAATTTTTTTAAAAAGCCAGAATGGCTCCCAGGTCCCCATACTTGCAGCAGCCCTAGCCCATCTGTCAAAAGTGCCACTGATTTATGTCACATAGAGGAAAGCACTTGGCACACAGGTGCTCCAATGCCCCACATCTGAAGCATGACAGGGAAAGAGCAGGACAAACTGGGAATCGGTAAGGAAGGGAGGCTTCTATCCTCCAGGGCGGGAGACACTCACGGAGCCCTCTAGGAAGCAAGGACATGGGCCAGAACCCCCACCCCCACCCCTTACACACCCCTGGTGCCACCCGAGTCCCCTTCCCTCTGCGCGGACCAGGCTCCCCGCTCAGCGCTGGGGGGCGGAGGGGAGCAGGACGCGGGAGGGAGAAGCCCCTCCAGGTACCCACGATGGTCCCGGGCTGGCACTGCGTCCTGAGGTCTGGGTTTCTTGTGCCCCCTCAAGCCCTTGAAGGGACAGGGGAAATCGGAAAACTGAAGGTTTCCAAAGCGGTTCCTGATCTCAGCGGCCACCAGAGTCGCCGGGGAAGGGGGGGCGGGATCTCGAGCACCTGAGCGCAGCGGGGAGCTCCGGACCCGGGGAGGGGGGTCGGCGACTACCCTAGCAGCGCCCCTCCCAGGTCAGGGAAACCCAGGGCCCCACCGCAGAGGCACCGGGACGCCCCCCATCGGCAGGACGCGCCCCCCCCCCGGGCCCCCGAGTCCTCCTTGGAGGTGGCCGAGCCTCAGCTGTCTGCGGTCGGCGGGACAGGAGACTCCGCCACGGGGCGGGTACAGACCGACGGCAGAGGCGGACGGACGGGCGGACTGGCGACGCGGGAGAAGGAAGGATGGTGGCGGCGTGGGGGGGTGGTCCAGAGGATGGACGGGAGGGACGGAGGATGAGGACGGGGGAAGCGACGGGGGGACGGGGAGCCGGGGGTGGGGGGCGGGGCTATTGCATGGTCGGGAGTAGAGACCCAGAACGGGGAGACCGGCAGGGCGCGGAGGATGCACGAGGGAGGGGGAGATGGGGGAGGTGGGGCCCGGGGTGGGGGCCGCCCCGCTGCCTCAGCGCCGACCCCTTCCGCCCTACCTAGGGCCAGCATGTAGCCCTCGAAGTTGTCGCTGCTGAGCAGGTTCCAGGTGCCGCTGAGGTCGGCGGGCATGGCGGGGCAGGGCGACAGTGGCGGGCGGGCGGGCGGGCGGCCGGGCGGCCGGGCCTCGGCTTATCTGCGGGCCCCGGGGGGCGGGCGGGGGCGGGGCGGCGGGGTGACGGCGGCGCCGGGAGGAGCCGGCCTCCGAGGCACTTGCTGGGGACCCCCCTCCCCGCGCCTGCCTCTCCCGGTTTTCTGCGCCAGCGGGGTCACCCCTGCTCCCCTGGCCTCCTCCCCCTCCCTCTCTTCGTCCTCCTCCTCGTCCTCCTCTCCAACTCCAGACCCACTGCACACCGTGTTACGAGCCACACTTTTTTCTCTGCCTCCAAAGTGAAAATGACCAAGGGAAGCTCCTCCAAACTCACGGCATTAGCGTTTCAGCTGCAAAGGCTAAGTCAAAAAACCCAACTCTAGTGGTCTCCATATACATTATTTTTCTTACCTATCAAGCAGTCCTGGGATGCTGATGATTTGGCAACTCCATAAGGTGGAAGTGGCATTTCTGTGATTCTCCGGGCCTTTTATGCCTGCTGGTAACCTCACGGTCATGAATGGACTGCTGGGTTTCCAGCCAGGACATCCATGTTCAAGGGAAGAAGGAAGGGGGAAGCACCACCTGCCACTATCCCTTCATTACATTTCTGTTTACAGTCATTGGCCAAAGCTGTGCCCACTTCCAACTGGAAGGGAGCCCGAGGAAGCTGGCATCTCCTCTTCAGTCTTGACAGTAGAGAAAGGCAACAGAGAAGATGGTTGGGAATGTAGGCTAATCTACAATATTAGTCAAACACCATGCCTGGAGGCTGCCTCCAAAATGTAGAGTCTATTTCTGACCTCACCCATCAGCTCCAGACTCAAATATATGTATATTTGATATATATGTAATAACATATAAAATATACTCAAAATATTTTTATTTAAAGATTTTATTAATTTAATTTTTTAAAAAAGATTTTATTTATTTAATCATGAGAGACAGAAAGAGAGAGAGACAGAGACACAGGCAGAGGGAGAAGCAGGCTCCATTCACAGAGCCCGACGTGGGACAGGATCCCGGGTCTCCAGGATCACACCCCAGGCTGAGAGCAGTGTTAAACCACTGAGCCACCGGGGCTGCCCTATTAATTTAATTTTTTTTATTTTTTTTAATTTAATTTTTAAAAAAGATTTATTTGTTTATTCATGAGAGACACACAGAAGCAGAGACATAGGCAGAGGGAGCAGACTCCCCATGGGGAGCCCGATGTGGGACTCGATCCCAGGACCCCAGGATCATGCCCTGAGCCAAAGGCAGATGCTCAACCACTGAGCCACTCTAGTGGCCTTAATTTAATTTAATTTAATTTAATTTAATTTAATTTAATTTAATTTAATTTAATTTAATTTAAGGTAGGCTCCACAACCAATGTGGGGCTTGAACTCATGATCCTGAGATTAAGAGTCACATATTCTACCAGTTGAGCCAGCCAGATGCCCCAAGATTTTAAGTAATCTCTCTCTCTCTTTCTCTCTCTCTCTCTCTCTTTTTGTGTGAGTAAAGGGATAGAAGTTTATTAAGCAAAGATAGAGAGAAAGCTCTCAGCAGTGAGAAGGGTCCCAACAGGGTTGCCTTATTTTTAAGTAATCTCTACACCCAGTGTGGGGCTCAAACTTCCAACTGGGAGACCAAGAATCACATGCTCTACCAACTGAGCCAGCCAGGCACCACAGTCTCTCTATTAATAGTCAAGATTTATTGAGTGCTTACTGTGTATGTTATCACTTGTCACAAAATACTACTTCTCCAATGGTTATTATGTCCATTTGACAGAGATACAAACTGAGATGGAGAGAGGTTAAATTTCCAAGGTCATACACTTGATGGAAGAGTCTAGATTCAAACTCAGACAGCCTGGCTCAGTCGGTTAAGCATCTGCCTTTGGCTCAGGTCATGGCCTCAGGGTCCTGGGATCAAGCCCCACATTAGGCTCCCTGTTCAGCAGGGAGTCTGCTTCTTCCTTTCCCTCCCCCAGGTCATGCTTTCTCTCTCTTTGTTGCTCACTCTCTCAAGTAAATAAATAAAATATTTTTTAAAAATTTTATTTATTTATGATAGTCACACACAGAGAGAGAGAGAGAGAGGCAGAGACATAGGCAGAGGGAGAAGCAGGCTCCATGCACCCAGAGCCCGATGTGGGACTCGATCCCAGGACCCCAGGATCATGCCCTGAGCCAAAGGCAGGCACTAAACCACTGAGCCACCCAGGGATCCCCACCAGTTTTGTTTCCTTCCTCAGGGTGTTTATATATGGTGTTTCCTCTACCTGGGATGTTTTTCTCCTGTTTTTTGCAAGGTTAGCTGCTTTGGTTTCCAGTTCAAAAGTCATAATTAGGGGAACAGTCTTTTCTAATCATGCTCTCCATGGAGAGGAATTTCCCCTAAACACCCTGGCCTCTTTCCAAACCTACTTCCTTCTCATGGAAGTGGGATGAGTTCTCTGCTTGGGGGGCCATGAGGGTAACCACCCATCCTGGTTTCCCCAGGACTAAAGGAGTGCCCAATACATGGGCACTACCAGAATGTATTGCCTGCCTTAGGGACAACAGCCACTGAAGAGTTTTTCTCTACTAGAGATAGATTTAATCTATCAAACATTCTAAATGCAGAGCATTTCAATTTTTTTCCTTCTGCCCTTTTGACATGGACTTGAGAGTGTATTTGTTTTACAGACCCAAACCCTCTGGTAGACTATTCCAAAGTCTAGACTGGGGACTCTTAAAAAAATGCTATATTGTCTTTTATGACAGTCTCCGAAGTCAAATGACATCATTTCCACATGCCTACCCAAATCCAAAGGGAGGTTAACTTGGACCTCATTTCTCAATGTCACATTGTAAGCAGAGCAAGTGGAATGGGAGATCTTGTAACATCCATCTTAGAAAATACATAATCTGGCATGGTTACCTATTCTGCTTTGACCCTCACACCAGGCTTCAACTTTGAACTTTTATCAAGACCTTCTCAGTCCTAGGGATCCCTGGGTGGCGCAGCGGTTTGGCGCCTGCCTTTGGCCCAGGGCGCGATCCTGGAGACCCGGGATCGAATCCCACGTCGGGCTCCCGGTGCATGGAGCCTGCTTCTCCCTCTGCCTGTGTCTCTGTCTCTCTCTCTCTCTGTGACTATCATAAATAAATAAAAATTAAAAAAAAACTTCTCAGTCCTAAAGATGCTATTTTTGGGGTGCCTGGCCAGCTCAGTCAATGGGGGATGTGACTCTTCATCTTAGGGTCATGAGTTTGAGCCCATCTTGGATGTAGAGATTACTTTTTTTTTTTAAGATTTTATTTTTTTATTCATCAGAGACACAGAAAGAGGCAGAGACACAGGCAGAGGAAGAAGCAGCCTCCATCCATGCAGGGAGCCTGACGTGGGACTCGATCCCGGGTCTCCAGGATCACGCCCTGGGTCGAAGGTGGCACTAAACTGCTGAGCTACCCGGGCTGCCTGTAGAGATTACTTTATATATATATATGTGTATATATATATATTTTTTTTTTTGGTAGAGATTACTTTAGAAATTTTTTTTGAAGATGCTATTATTATTCTTCATTTGTTGCTTTTTTCATCTTATTTTTCAGTTGGTTTAGATCTTTTTTTTTTTTCTTTTATTCATGAGAGACATGGAGAGAAAGGCAGAGACATAGGCAGAGAGAGAAGCAAGCTCCTCACAGGGAGCCCAATGCAGAACTCGATTCTGGGACTGGGATCATACCCTGAGCCAAAGGCAGACGCTCAACCGTTGAGCCACCCAGGCGTCTCAGTTGGTTTAGATCTTAGACAAAAAAATACTTGACTCTGATAATCTCTGAGTCACGAACAGCCTTCTGATATATTTCTGATAGCTATTTACTCTGCATCACATCTCTGCTTAATTCCTTCATAATTATCATAATCCACAATTTTTTTTTGGTTTGTTTATTGACTCCCTTTTTTCTTAAGATTTCAAGGGCAGAAAACATGTTCCTCTCATTCTTCTGCAGCATCCCTAGGGCCTAGGGAATGTGCTGGCAAGTGCTCCATAAATGTTGAATGAATGGCTGCAGCCTTTTCCAAAGGAGAAACGCCATTTTTACTGAGAAATCAGAGTAGTACCACCTTGCCCAGAATAAGGCTATTGATTCTCCTAACTATAAGACATTGATTCCTTTGGTGGGATATGACAGGCTGATATCAAATCCTAGATTACCTATATCTTGCCATTTATTTTATTTTTTAAAAGATTTTATTTATTTGAGAGAGAGAGCATGAGCGGGGGGCGGGGGGGCAGGGGAAGAGGGAGAAGTAGGGAGGGAGAAGTAGGCTCCCAGCTAAGCAGGGAGCCTGATGTGGGGCTCAATCCCAGAACCCTGACCTAAAGGCTTAACCAACTGAGCCACCCAGGTGCCCCTGTATCTTCCCATTTAATGGGCACAGAACTATGAACTCTGACCAGATTTCTGGAGTATGAAGCCTGTTTAAATTCCAGAAAACTAAGGGAACAGGACATGGAAAAGTCATACTTACTTCCTGCCCTTAATATCTTATTGTTCTAAATGTTGGCCTGCAAATGAAAGTCACATAAATAACTACTAATAATTTTGGCATTTGTGATGGTTGGTATGGCTTTGGGCCAGCTTAAACAAGGGCCATCTAGTATGGATAGAGTTGAAATTCAGTTGAAGTAGACATAGACTGAGCTTGCCCATGGGATAAAGAGTAATTTTCTCCTCCACAATTCTCCCATCTTTCTTCTAGACAAGGACCAAACGTTATCTCTGGAAAGAGGGGTGAAATTTATTTGAGACTTTTCTTTTCCTCCACTTGATACTGGCAAAGTAAGTCATAAAATTATAGCCAAGATGAGATGATCCTAAACCTGTGCTAACACTGCTCCTCCTCGGCAGAAATGGATGGGAATGGAAGAGGGACAGTTGGCAGTCGACCCACTCTTGTATCACCTGATGGAGTCTGGTACTGGCTTAGCAAAGAATGGCATGGATACTGTAAACACTTCTTGCCATCCAGACTTCCACTCCCTAAGGCAGGGACGCATTGCCATCAAGGAGCTTGGTCCAGGTCTAGGAGTAGGATCTGGATTCATTTAAGACTAAGCCAATCACAGAAAGCCTACCTCCTTTGACAGTGATTGGTTTTCGGGACAAGCAAGTTTCAATGAATTTGAATCAGCCAAGGATATATGATGATAAGTTTGATAAGCCTATTGGGGGCAGCCCTGGTGGCGCAGCAGTTTAGTGCTGCCTGCAGCCCAGGGTGTGATCCTGGAGACCCGGGATCGAGTCCCGTGTCAGGCTCCCTGCATAGAGCCTGCTTCTCCCTCTGCTTGTCTCTCTCTCACTCTCTCTCTCTCTCTCTCTCATGAATAAATAAATAAAAGCTTTAAAAAAAAAAGCCTATGGGAAAGATGTTTCTTTGATTTTAACAAAGCCCTAGGGAGCCAGCCTTTCCCCACTTTTGAGCATGAGCCAGGAAGACTTGCTATTGGTGACCACCCTACAACTTAAAGAGCACCAGACTTAGGACACGGAGTTACAGAGCGGAGGAATGGAAAGCCCCTGGGTCCCTGATGACACTGTTGCTTCATTGTTCCCATGCACCCTAAACCCTACCCTCCATTTGTTTTTGTTTGTTTGTTTGTTTGTTTGTTTGTTTTCCGATGCAAACACACGAGGGTTTATTTACAAGCTCGAGCTTGGGTCCAAGTATACCTGACACAGCGGAGCAGGGACCTGGACCCTGCCCTCCATTTGTACTTCTGGGTTTAAATGTCCTTGTTTCAACCTGGAGTTGAAATTCATATTACTCGCAGTGGAAAATACCCTGATATAGAAAATAAATAAAATTAGGTTACTCTTGTCTCCTTAAGTAACTTATTTGCCTTTTTAAACCTTTTTGAGGGCAGAAGAGCTAATTATGGTTCAGTTCTGAGCATATTTAAGTTGCTGAGAGTACTTAGCAAATGTTAAATAAAATACCACTATGGGGCCCCTGGGTGGCTCAGTTGGTTGAGCATCTGACTCTTGGTTTTGGCTCAGGTCGTGACTTCATGGGCTGTGGGATGGAGCCCCATGTCGGGCTCCATGCTTAGCTCAGGGTCTGCCTGAGGATTCTCTCCTTCTGCCCCTTACCCAACTCATGTGCTCTCACTCTCTCAAATAAAGAAAGAAATCTTTGGAGAGTGGAAAACAAACCATAAGAGACTCTCAACGTCAGAAAACAGGCTGAGGGTTGGGCAGCCCAGGTGGCTCAGGGGTTTAGCACCACCTTTGGTCCAGGGCCTGATCCTGGAGTCCTGGGATCAAGTCCCACTTTGGGCTCCCTGCATGGATCCTGCTTCTCCCTCTGCCTGTGTCTCTGCCTCTCTCTCCCTTCTGTTTCTCATGAATAAATACACAAAATATTTAAAAAAAAAAAAAAAAGAAAAGAAAACAGACCGAGGGTTGATGGAGGCAGGTCAGTGGGGGGGGAGTGGCTAGATAGATGGGCGATGGGGATCTAGGAGGGCATATTTTGGGATGAACACTGGGTGTTGTATGGAAGCGCTGAATCACTGAATTCTACTCCAGAAATCAATATTGTGCTGTATGTTAACTACCTAAAGTTTAAATTTAAAGAAAAGGGAAGGGATCCCTGGGTGGCGCAGCGGTTTGGCGCCTGCCCTTGGCCCAGGGCGCGATCCTGGAGACCCGGGATCGAATCCCACGTCGGGCTTCCGGTGCATGGAGCCTGCTTCTCCCTCTGCCTGTGTCTCTGCCTCTCTCTCTCTGTGACTATCATAAATAAAATAAAATAAAAAAAAAAAATTAAAAAAAAAAAAAAAAGAAAAGGGAAAAAATCTTAAAAATATATTACTTCAATAAATAAATACTAAAAATATACTATCTCATGAGTACTACTTTTTCAATAAGAACAGTGTGGCCAGAAGCTCAGATCTTCTGCTTTGGTGGCACTGATAATTTTAGCTACACTATTTTAAAGGCTATTAATCAAAAGAAACTTTGGGTGCCGAGAATCTACCTTGAAGAAGGCAGCTGGGACTTTGCCCCCATAAGCCAGGCCCCTCCGCCTTGCTCTCCTGTGCTGTGCCAGCGAGGCCATCCAAATCTGGGGCTCACTCATTCTCACTGGTTTCCTATGCAGCTGTTGTTCTGGAGACCCTGGGGAGGACACAATAGGGCAAGCAATTAAAAAACAAAAACAAAAACAAAAACCTTTCTCTTGACTGTCCTCCGCTCCTCAGATCCTGCTAACCTGAGAGCAATTGTTGTAACATATAGTGAGAGGCAGGCCTGTTCTCTGTACTTCCTCGTGGGTTGTTCCTCCTACCTAAGGCTGCCCAAGCTGGAAAAACAAAAGCCCCCCAAACAGAACAGAAACAGGACTCCTTGACCTTCAGATAAATGACAATTCAGTGTAAGGAGCTCCTCCTGGAGTGCTCTCCACCCTGGTTTCTTGACTTCCAGGGCCCAAGGGTGCTCATGTTTAGGAAGCGTGATGGGTTCAGGAGGATTCTGGAGAGTTCCTTGCTCAAACTCTAGTCTTGTTTTTCTTGCCACCTAGCTGTAGACAACCTGGCAGCAGAAACTATCTTGTACTTGTGTGCTCCCCTTGGTACTTCACATAATACTGTTCCAAGATATGCTTCCTGGTCACACAGAAGGGACAGGTGGCAGCTCAGAGTGGTGAGAAGCCAGTATGGTGAGGAGCCAGTGCCAACTCTCCATCAGGTCGATCACATTTCATATGCACCCTCATGGATCTGGGTGCATTTTCTTTCTTTCTTTCTTTTTTTTTTTTTTTAGCTAATGAAGAGTGAACTAGGGCTCCTAACACCTCCTCCTTCTGGGCATTCACTTCTCCTATTCCAAGGAATTGGTACATCAGGCAGGTTCCACTTGGTCCTTCTGTGTGGACAGAACACATCACACGTCACCATCAGACTATCATATGTTCAAAGTTTTCTTTATTTGTACTCATCCATTTGGGGTGATGAAAATTTCAAGATGTGACTAAAATTTCATTCTTTGAAAAGTAAGATGTTACGTAAGGCGTAAAGAGGTTAAGAATGCAGGCTCAGAAGACATACTGCTCACTTAAGCCTCAGGGTTTGGCATTTACACCAATCAACTAATTGTGCTTAGTTTATGACTTACATGCCCCACACATCGTAAGTGTTGGCATTGTGAAGATCAAGCAGCACCACTGGTAAACCAGGTACAGATTTCAGAGACAGACACTGTACAGCCTCACAGTTGGGTGGATGCCACAGTGAATGTTCTAGATCACAAGGCCTGTGGGAACAAGTATGAGGATGGCAGTGGAATGGATGTCCTGTTATCCACTGATTATCCAAATGGTTAACATTTACTTCTGGGTGCCACACCATTTCACAAGATAGTGACTTCTGGCCTCTGACAGAAATGAATCAGACGTTGGGATAAGAAAAAAGAAAACTACCGTACATGCTGACACTGATGGAATGCTTCCTTCCACCCTGCAGGGAGACCCTCGAGATATCAGAAAAAAAAAAAGAGAACATCCTTTGATACAAGAAGATGAGCCTAAATCACACCTGTGGCTCAATCTCTCTACCCTGATCACCAAGGAGAACCCACTCCTCTTATCTAAATGGTTTACTGTTCACACTTGTCCCCTAAACAGGTAAACAACAAAAAAAATCTCTCCAGATGTGTATTCAACTGAATTAAGCTGCCAGTAAAGGACTTTTGTTCCTTGGCTGCATTCAAATTATGCAATGTAAGGGGTAAGGGAGTATAACACATATAAAACATAAAACGAGCATCAAACACACAAAATACCAGCTTTACACATTTCCTAAACCTAAAATTCACATTACAAAAGCAAATTATGAAAAAGCCATAATAGGAAATATAGTGGCATATTTCCCTCTTCCTCAATGGAAGTCACAACAACTATTAATATTTATTCCCCTGTGAAGTTCATTGTTCTAATTTCCACTATCAAAACAGGAAATTCTGCCCCTGAGGTCACCCAAAACTTATTATGTTGTGGCATTAGCAGCATCCTTGGTACTAAGACAAAAAGCTAAAAGCAGCCCATTCCATGTACAAAGGTATTGATCCATAAATAGCACAATAGGATCATTTCACTATTATCAAGTCTCCTGGGAGGTCCCCAAACGCTTTACCCAGTGGGTCCAGAGGTCATATACTCACAGCTGAGCAGGGTGGGCCCTTCTAGGTAGGAAGGCACCATGGTATAAGAGAAATTTCTACAAAATAAATAGAAGTTTATAGCATTGGAAGCCTTCTGCACTCTGTACATACATCAGGTGAACTAAGTGCAGTTTTCCAGGAGAAAAAAAATCAAAATTACACTTAGGTAGCTTCATCTACTTCTAGATGGTTCTTCATCAATACTGCTTCAACTCTCAACTCCAAACAGTTCAGGAGAGGGAGAAATGACCCTCATCTCTCTGATCAGAGACTCCAACTTGTCACTCCATCAGTAGACTGAAGCCTACTAGTGCCAGGCTCTGCAACCCTCCTGGGCTTTAGGAGGCTGGCCTGTTGGCCTCAGTAAGAGTAGGTCAGTGGTTGTAGAATGGATGCTGGCCACTTTCACTCCTTCTCTTTTCAAACTGCGTGTTCACATTTGACCATACAACTGCACAATTTTAAGTACTTTTTCCTTCAAGTCATAAACCCTTCATCTAGAATGGTGTAGGTATGAAATATAAATTGCAAAAAGTATATTTTTTTTATTATTTATTTATGATAGTCATACAGAGAGAGAGAGTGAGTGGCAGAGACATAGGCAGAGGGAGAAGCAGGCTCCATGCCCCGGGAGCCTGACGTGGGATTTGATCCCGGGTCTCCAGGATCGTGCCCTGGGCCAAAGGCAGGCGCCAAACCGCTGCGCCACCCAGGGATCCCCAAAAGTATTATATTTTCATGAGGAATTTAACTTAAGTCCTCTTTCTACCACATGATTTTTCATGGATCATAAAGCTATTCTATAAAAGCTATTTCTGGTTCTTTTGCCTTACCAATTGGTAAAACTTTCACAGAATTTTAATCAGCATCCAACTATGTACAAACTTGTGTTTGTCACGTAAAAGGGAAAAAGTGTAAGAAAGTAGAAACTTTTTCTGCTTAAATTTACAAATGGTAGATTCACAGTGAGCTGGAACAAAAACAGCAGGGCTCTTCAGACACTCGAGAAAATTTTGGACTGAGATCATAGAGAGTTCTTTCAACCAGCCATTTTCAGTTCTTCGAATTCTGAATTGGAGGAAATGTGAGCTCATCCAGTGTGGCATTTCTCATGTTTGTAGGATCTTCATTCATCTTTTGACTATTAAGCTATCAAGAAAGGAAAAAAAAAAAAAAAAAAGAAAGGCCAAGAACACTGATAGTTAATAAAATCCTTGTATAAGATCCCTCACTCTCTGTGGTTCTCTCTGTTCCAGGTAGCATGATGTCACTTCTGAAGCGGTTCCTGAAGACAGCAAGATGGCAGATAACCAGAGCCACAAGAGGCTGTGCTAAGAGGAAACCCATAACGTGTAACCTGATTTTAAATTACCACTGGTTTTACCAAACTTTTATGCTTTAGTTTATGAAAGAATCACAATTCCCCATTACCGGCACCCAGACTGTTTCTCTACCTCTCGTGTGGGGAGCAGAAATACTGGTGTACCTTTCCGAACATTTGAGGGCTTGGACCTTTCTCCCAGTCTCCAAAGGTGGAGCTCCAGGCAGATGTGTCTTGGCAAAGCTTAACTGATGTGCACCAGAGAGACAGAACCATTAGCGTCAAGTTTCTGCCAGGCACATTCACAACCTGTATTTTGCACAGCTGAAGATGACTGGTCAGTGGTGGATTTTACAAGATCACTATTTTTAGAATTATTTCCTTGGCCACCATTGGTGAAGAATGCAGGCATTCGTAAAAGGCTAATTCCCTTTAAAACTAAATTGGGGGGCAGCCCTGGTGGCACAGTGGTTTAGCACCGCCTGTAGCCCAGGGCGTGATCCTGGGGACCCTGGATCGAGTCCCACGTCAGGCTCTCTGTATGATGCCTGCTTCTCCCTCTGCCTGTGTCTCTGCCTCTCTGTCTCTCACGAGTAAATAAATAAAATCTTTAAAAAAAAAAAAAAAAAACTAAATTGGGGGGCAGCCCAAGTGGCTCAGTGGTTTGGCGCCTGCCTTCGGCCTAGGGTGTGATCCTGGAGTCCTGGGATCGAGTCCCACATTGGACTCCCTGCATGGAGCCTGCTTCTCCCTCTGCCCATGTCTCTGCCTCTCTGTGTCTGTCATGAATAAATAAATAAAATCTTAAAAAAAAAAAAAAACTAAAGTGGGGATTTTAAATAGGTTTTTATTTTTTTATTTTTAGGTTTTATTTATTTATTTGAGAGAGAGTGAGCAGGAGCGAGAGGGAGAGAGGATCTGAACCAACCACTATGCTGAGCACAGAGCCCGATGCCAGGCTCAATCCTATGACCCGGAGATCACAATCCGAGCCGAAATCAAGTTAGACACTCAACCAACTGAGCCACCCAGAGACTATATTGAAAACATTCATCTTAGGAATTTCCAATAAATTATAAACGTGGTTTTAATCTACTATAAAACTGATCTTTACCAAACTTTTAAAAAGCTTTAGTTTATGAAACAGGATCACAATTCCTCTTCCCAGTTACTGACACGCAGACGGTTTCAAATACCCATTAGGGAAGTCCAAAATATCATGCTGTATGATTTATGAGTTAGCTTCTGCAGTGTTTCTCTGCAAAGGAGCCAGGATGACCCCGACATTCCTTTCTTCACTCTCACAGCTATACAGATCATGCTTTTCGATATACTCCTGGACAAGGTCTGGTACCAAGTAGCGAATGCTCTGGCCCCTTCTGAGAGCTCGCCGGATCTTTGTGGAGGAGATGTCATTGGTGATCCATTCATTTACCAGGTGAATGTTGTTCCGATGCTGCCACAGTGCATCGGATTCATAGATGAATTTCTGAGCATCATTTCCAGCCCGAGTAATACATACAAGTCCATAGTCTCCCACAATTTGGGTGATATCCTCACTTTTCCACAGATTGGGCACGCCAAAGGACTCCAGTAGATCTGCCCCACACAGCAGCTTTACCTTTGGCACATCTGGGAAAAAGAAGACACAGCTTCAGGGTCTGCTTTGCTAGTAACTCCCTGCACCAAAATGAACACAGCAGTGTGTTTTTCTGGCTAGAGGGTTCATAGATCCCATCTGATCAGAATCAGATTTCCAGAAGAGATTTAGGACATGCAAAAGTTAAGGACCACTGCAGGAGAAATAAGCTCAAGGTGCCCTTTCCTCTCCTTTCTCCCTCCATTCACAAAACTAACTAGGGGCATTTACTGGGCACTCATACACACTGAATATGAAAATACAAAGGGGCTTGCTCAGCTCTAGAATCTTATCTACTGTAGTCGGTAAGTCTGATGAAACATACAGACCTTTTGTTTTTGGCTCTAGCGATTTCTTTTGACTAAAATCTTGTCTCTGTTCAGCCCACTTCCTTTTCTGTCCAGGCCTTCCCCGCACAGGTGAATCCTGCTGGTGATCACAGCTCCCGGCCTCTAGTTTCTCTTGATGGTGTCTATAAAACAAGGCAATAGAACATTTCTCTTCTCACAATGTTCAGCTAAAATACTGTCCTTCTGGAGATGTCTGAGAGCCTCTGACCCAGAGTTAAATGCTGTGTGATATTAAAAACATTTAACCAGGGCAGCCCGGGTGGCTCAGCGGTTTAGCACACCTTCAGCCTGGGGCCTGATCCTGGAGACCCGGAATCGAGTCCCACATCAGGCTCCCTGCATGGAGCCTGCTTCCCCCCCTGCCTGTGTCTCTGCCCCTCTCTCTCTGTGTGTCCCTCATGAATAAATAAAATCTTTAAAAAATAAAAACATTTAACCACAGGTACACCTGATGCCTGACCGGTCAGAAGGGATGCTTACCAGTCCCCAGTACCACCAGGTCAGCATGGATACTGGCCAGCAGTGCTGTGGACTGGCTGTCAGAAACAGAATGCAAGGAGATCCTGGGAGCACAACAGATGGTAGCTATTACTATTCTAAGCTTTATGTGTGTGCCATAATAACAAGAGTGAACATTACTTATTTACTATGTGCTAAGCATTACACTAAGTCCTTTGCATGGATTATTTGATTAAATCTTCTCAATATCCCGTGCCATAAATACCATTATTGTTATTATTATTTCAATAGTGGAGGGAAGTGAAGGCTTAGAGCTGCAACTCCAGCTATTGGAGGCACTCCCTGGGACACAGGAGGCATTCTTTTTTTTTTTCAAGATTTTTATTTATTTATTTGAGAGAGCATGAGCAGGGGGTAAAGGCAGAGGGAGAAGCAGGCTCCCCACTGAGCAGGGAGCCCAATTCGGGGCTCGATCCCAGGATGCTGGGATTAGGACCTCAGCTGACGGTAGACACTCAATGGACTGAACCACTCAGGTGCCCCCATGGGAGGCATTCAATAACAATCTTATTGAGTGAATGTTTTAGTTATTACAAAGCAACTCTTATTGCCCACTATTATATCAGAATTATTATCCCTATTAAGAGAGGAGAGCTCTGATTAATTTGCCCTAGGCCATATTTTCAAAAAGTGGGGCTCAAACTTGCAACTGTGAGATCAAGACCTGAGTCAAAATCAAGAGTCAGACAATCAACTGAGCTACCAGGTGCCCCTGCCCATGGCCATTTAGCTTATAAGTAGCCAAGCCAGTATTTGAACCCCAGAAGTCTGGTTCCAGAGTCTATACTCTTGACCACTGAAGAATGTGGCTTGACCCACTTAATGGAGAGCCACACGCCAAGGATAAAGTCCTAGAGGGGACAGGTGCCTGAAGCCTAAAAGGAAGGGACCACAGGCAGCTTATGTGTAGCTTTCTTGTGGACTGGCAGCAGGATGCCCACTGCTTTACAACTGTGAAGTAACATGAGCTAAATTTAGGGGAGCCAAATGTGGGTCCTTGTGCCTCTAACTCCCTTCCCTCTTGAGCAACTGAGTTAATATGTAACAGACAGTAAGGTTTCTGCGGAACCAAAGAGGGACAGCTGAGTAAGGTGGGCCTGCAGAAGCCTGGTGTTTGTTTGTTTGTTTGTTTGTTTGTTTGTTTTTAAAGATTTTATTCATTCATTCATAGAGACACATAGAGATAGAGAGGCAGAGACACAAGCAGAGGGAGCCTGATGTGGGACTCGATCCTGGGTCTCCAGGATCACACCCTGGGCTGCAGGTGGCGCTAAACCGCTGCGCCACCAGGGCTGCCCAAGCCTGGTGTTTGATAGGAGAATTTCTGGCCAATGAAAAGGGCAGACACCTCCCTGCCAAGCCTGAAAAGTTGCTCCTCTTGCTAGGTTGCTGTGCTGGATACTATCTGCTGGCTCAGTGGCAAATCCTGCCCTAAACACACTTCCCAGAGGATCTCACGGCATGTTCTCAATATGACAGAGATTCTGCTAATGAGATTCACTCACAAGACTCGGAAGGAAGAAGGGAGGCAGAGGCCATCTTTCTGGGCTGTGGAGCATGAGAAGCAATCTCTTATGGCACAAGCATGGTGGCCAGACTCTCTATTCCACTGTCCAGCCACCAACTCTAGGAGACTGGGACAGTTGAACAGCAGCATTTGTGGTGGCAGAGACAGGACCAGCTTCCTGAACACTCACTGCAGCTAAAGAGGTATGACCTTGGAACAAACCCCACTTCCCTGCTGCCAGCCCCTTGACACTTTTGCAGATGCACCTAAATCCCTTTCTGCTTAGAATAGTCAGAGTGTTTTGGGGGCACCTGAGTGGCTCATTCACTTGAGAGTCTTGACTCTTAATATTGGCTTGGGTTGTGATCTCAGGGTTGGAGGATTGAGCCCCATGGCTGGCTCCGTGCTCAGCATGGAGTCTGCTTGAGGATTCTTCCTCTCCCTCTGTCTTCCCCCAACTTGAGTGTGTGTGTGCGCATGCTCTCTCTTAAATAAATAACATCTTAAAGAAAAAAAAAAAACCACTCAGTGGTTTCTATTTCCTGTCGAAACCCTAATTGATATGTTTCGAACCAGAAGGCTCAACTGTAAGAATAGACATTAGACATGAAGGTTTTTCAGAAAGCTCTCCTATAATTAAGCTAATATCACATAATAATTAGATATTATTCACTCTCGTTTATTTTGAAAGACTTTATTAATTCATGAGAGACACACAGAGAGAGGCAGAGACATAGGCAGAGGGAGAAGCAGGCTCCCTAAGGGAAACTTGATGCAGGATTCAATCCCAGGACCTTGGGATCATGACCTGAGCCAAAGGCAGATGCTCAACCACTGAGCCACCCAGGCATCCCTCTAGTTTTTGAATCCTTACCTGGAACTGTTTCAAAGGTATGAGCACAGAGGTCTGAGACAACCCCCATATGTGGTCATGGGAGCGGCTCGTAAAATCAGGGCTGTCCATGACCAAGCACCATGGCTTCTCTTGCTTAAATTAGCTGCCTCTCTCTTTTATACTTAAGATTAATGACAACATCTTCTTAGGACTTTTGGGCACAGACAGGGCAGGCAGGCTTCTCTATGTGCTCTCTTTCATAAAGATACACACAGTAACAAGCATGCAAACATCTCAAAGCATGATGAAAGGCATACAGGTAAACAGACCCCCACATTCTGTTGCTGTGCTCCATACCCAAGAAATAACCGGACGTGGGAATAGCACAGCCTAAGCCCTCCGACCTGAGTCAGTTTGCAAATCTGTATGTTCACAGACACAGGCAGTAGTGAAATATGGCAGAAAGCCCCCAAACCGTTTCCACACAACTGACAAAGCTGACTTCACCATGAATACCTTAGCACCTTAGCCGTCTCTACCCACTCCTTCTGAAGACTCTCCCAGGTGTCAACTTCCACCCATTCTGAACTCTTGGTGGCGAGTTCTGCCATGATAACTCGGTGGTGGGCAGAGATGAGTCCTTTCTTCTTATATGCATCACCAACAGGAGAAATTATGCCTTTGATAACTTTGTATTTTCCTGGATAAAGAGTCAAATTTCATGTGAGGTGTAACAAGTTACATTTTATGCACAGAAAATATTATCATTGATATGGTTTTATAACAGACCCTCCTCCCCCACTCCCCCATTTTTAAAACAGGGATTCAGGGTGCCTGGGTGGCTCAGTCGGTTAGGTGTCTGCCTTCGGCTCAGGTCATGACCTCAGGGTCCTGGGACTGAGATCCACATTGGCTCCTGGCTCAGCGGGGAGTCTGCTTCTCCCTCTCCCTATGGCGCTCCCCCTGCTTGTGCTCTCTGTGTCAAATGAATTCAAATGAATAAGTAAAATCTTTAAAAAAAAATAAAACAGGGATTCAGGTTTATTCATAATTCATTTATAAACAAGGTGAAATAGAACATAAAATTCACCATTTTAACCATCTTAAGTACATGTTTCAGGGGCAAGCACATTTACACTGTGGTGCAGACCTCACCACCGTCTGTCTCCAGAACTTTTTCATCTTTTCCAACTGAAACTTTGTCCCTACGAAACACTAACTCCCCATCACCCTGCACACTGTAAATTTTGATATTGCCAAATTGCCTTGTAAAAAGCCTTAATCCATTTGTATTGTCCATCTACAGTGTTTGCAAGAGCCCATTTCTCCCCAACCTCTGACACTTGACACTATCAAGTATAAACATTTTTACTGATGTCATGGGCAAAAGAGATTTCATTTTTTATCTTAGTTCTCTATTAGGATTATTAGTGAGATTGAACACCCATCCATCTATCTATCAGCATATAGCATGATCATTTATGTAACAGAACATATTATGTAGGGGAGGAAAATAAGTTTTTCTCAACCCTCCTTGGGTCCCTGGCTGGGTCTGAAAATTAAACTGACAAAGACAGAAAAATATAAGAAAAATGTAGAAATTTACTTAAGAGAAGGTTTATGTGACACGGTGCCTTCATAAAGAAACGAAGACCCCAAGAAACAGTTAGACATGAGTATTTTAATGAGAGGTTTGGTGAAGAGTGGACAGCCATAGAAAAACACGACAGGGCAGAGAGTATGAGGTAAGCATAGTCAACCCGGGGAAATTTAGCAAAGCCATTAGTTTATAATCTTCCAGGCATCCTTATGTCCTTAGTAATAAGGATGTTCCTTCCCTCCTGGTACAGGGAGGGCAACCCTCACATGAAGGTCTTATGAGCTGTTTCAGCGGAGAAGGGTGGGGAGGAGGTCAGAGGGACCTTCCTGATTCTGCCATTTTTTTCAAACTCCTTCAGCTTAAAATATCCAACATGCCAAAGGGCCATATTTTGGGGCTGTGCCCTGGACTCTACCTGTTCCGTTCATGTAGTCCTTGGCCAACTCAAATAGCCTGAGGTGCATGTTGGTGATAGGATTAAAGGAACCACAAGCAAGGAGAACCACTTCCATCTTTGAATTTTCCATGCTAAGAATTTGCAGTTGCTGATCTGAATGGCAAACTCCGACACTTTGCTTGTTGTCTGCAAAGGAGAAGAAAGGCAGGAAGTTCAGTTACAGGTCTTCAGGTGTCCTTCCATGTTCCCATTCCAAGTAGATGGACAAAGACACGTGGCTTCAATGACAAAGATGGCCCCATTTCTCCACGTTTCCTTTTTTGGTATTCATCTACAGCTCCTGCTATAAAGGGATAGCATCTCCTTTCCTCTGTGACTTGCTTTGTTTGTTTGTTTTTTATTGGAGTTCAATTTGCCAACATACAGCATAACACCCAGTGCTCATCCTGTCAAGTGCCCCCGTCAGTGCCTGTCACCCGGTGTGACTTGCTTTGGACAAAAGAATGTGGCAGACATAAGTGTGCCAATGCTGAGCAAGTCCTCTGAGGCTTTGCACACTTCCACACTCTTCTGGTCTCCTGCCTCTGCCATGAAAATAAGCCAGGGCCAGCCTGGTGGAGGATGACGGAACACAGGCCAGAGAGCTGCTACTCCTGCTGATAGCCAGCCAACTTCATTAGCTATATGGTGGAGGCCATCCCACACCAGCCAAACCACATACAACATGCTCAGACACACAGGCAAGCCCTGGTGAGATCAGCTGGGCCGGGCTTCCATCAACAAACTCACGAGCTGACCCTCAACTCCTGAGCAAAAGTAAATGCTTATTATTGGACGCTGCAAAGATTTGTGATGCACTACTGTGGTCACAGTTAACTGATACAATGACATTATCAACTATCAAATAAATGGGACTCCCCAACAACTTGCCCTTCAAAACAGTAGTCGGCCTCTTTGTCAACATGATCACATTATCACTTTTGGCCCAGGAACAGTTTACAAACTCTTTTTCGTTTATTCCACTTGATCCTTCCACAACCCTAATGAAGTAAAGACAATGAATTTAAAATTTTATTTTATTATTTTTTAAGATTTTATTTATTTATTCATGAGAGTCACAGAGAGAGGCAGAGAGAGGCAGAGACACAGGCAGAGGGAGAAGCAGGCCCCACGCAGGGAGCCCAACGTAGGACTTGGGACGGGACTTAGGACTTGGTTCGGGACTCGATCCCGGGACCCTGGGGTCACACCCCGGGCTGAAGGCAGTGCTAAACCGCCGAGCCACCGGGGCTGCCCCCTAAAATTTTATTAAATGCATTCATGTATACAGATTTAGAAATCACAGGGCAGCAAAAGACCCATAACAAAAACCAAGAGTCCTCAACCACACCCTGCTCACAAACTCCCCTATGCATCTCCTTTTTTTTTTTTTTTTTAAATGCATCTCCTTTAAAAGCAACTACTTTGAACTTTTTCAACTATTTCTTCTGGTAACTCTACCATAATTCTACATTATGTACTTATAATGCTATTTTAAATTTATCCAATGTAAACAGTGCCTATTTACTTTCTATAATTACCTATGAGAATTAGCTGTCACAAACCCTTACTATCTATTCCCAAACCTTTTTATCTCTACATAATTTCTAGTCTATGTTGAACATCGTCTTCTCCCAAGACTATGAAGTTACTGCTTCTAGACTCCTGTGCTAATAGTGAGAGCTCCAAAGTCACTTCCAATTCTGGGTCCTTTGAAGGTGACTTAACATTTTTCCTTCCTTGAAGCTTGTGAAATCTTCTCTTTGTCCCCAGTGTTCTGAAATTTTACAGTGATATCCTCTAGTGTGGTTCTATTTCCATCCATTGTGTTGGGCATTGCGCAGGCCCTTTCAATCTTGAAATTCATAGACTTCAGTTCTGGGAGAGGCCCTTGAATTACTTCACTGATGACTTTCCACCTTCCATTGTCTGTTCTCTTTGGAAATGCCTATTACTTGAAACTGAAACCCAGACTGGTCTTCTAATTTTCTTTTCCCTTCTATTTTTTCCCTTCTTGCCTTCATGCTCTAATTTCTAGATATCCTCAACTCCATCTTCCAATCCATAGGTCGAGCTTTTCATTTGTTATTATACTCTTTGATTTCTAAGAACTTTGTCCTCTAAATGTTCCTTTTTATGGTGTTCTGTTGTTTCACCAATGTATTCTCTTATCTACCAACGTGAATGATAAATTTTAAATTTCTTTCAAAAAGAGCTGATAGGAAGTTCTGAGTGAGTGAATCAGGCCTGTGCACAATGGGCTTAATTGTATGGTCACCTGGTAGTCAGTGTTGCAGGTCTCGCCCCTTGGACTGGTCAGATTCTACAGAAAAGTATCCTCCAATCTCTTTTCTGTTATAGCACTATAATAAGAACCCATGCTCTCTGGGGTTGACTGGGGTTGGCTGAGTCAGTAGAGCATGTGACTAGATCTCAGGGTTGTGAGTCCAAGCCCCATGTTAGGTGTAGAGAATTTATGCTCTGAATTCAGACTGCCTGCATAGATATCACAGCTCTGGGGCACCTGGGTGCTCAGTTGGGTAAGCATCTGCCTTCTGCTTGGGTCGTGATTCCAGGGTCCTAGGATTGAGCCCACATCAGCCCCCTGCTCAGCGGGGAGCCTGCTTCTCCACCTCACTCTGTCAGCTGCTTGCCCTGCTTGTCCTCTCTGCCAACTGGATGAATAACATCTGAAAAGGAAGGAAGGAAGGAAGGAAGGAAGGAAGGAAGGAAGGAAGGAAGGAAGGAAGGAAGGGAGGGAGGGAGGGAGGGAGGGAGGGAGGGAGGGAGGGAGGGAGGGAGGGAGGGAGGGGAAAGAAAGAGAAAGAAAGAAAAGAAAAAAAGAAAGAAAGGAAAAAGAGAGGGAAAGAAAGAAAGAAAGAAAGAAAGAAAGAAAGAAAGAAAGAAAGAAAAGAAAGAAAGAAAAGAAAAGAAAAGAAAAGAAAAGAAAAGAAAAGAAAAGAAAAGAAAAGAAAAGAAAAAAGAAAAGAGAAGTCACAGCTTTAATACCTACTTGGGCTGGATGACCTTGGACAACCTGACCCTAACCTAAACTTCCTTTGTCTCAATCTTAAATAATAGTACCTACCTCACAACTGTGTGAACAATAAATGATACATGCACAGTGCATAAAACTGCCTTTGATAATAAATAAGCTGTGAATATAGCTACTATTATGTTGCATACCATGTTGCTACAGTTCAACTCTTTGTAATTTAAATACCATCAATTTCAAATAGTTCAACAAATATTTAATCCATTTTCTGGAGGCTTTTTTTCCTGGAACTTTCTCTAATCTGGGCCGAAAATCTGTAATCTTTGGATAGCTGTCATCTGAAAACCTTTTACTCTCTCTCCTGAGTCAGATACCCTATTTCTTAGGGCCACATCAGGGCTTTCTTGTTTTATGTCCCAATTTTTCTAGAATGTATCCATGAGTAGCCTCATAATAAAGAGTGCATGGGAAATGTCTTTCCCTTCCTTCAGAGATGATTAGCTTAGTTGAGAAAATATACGATGAAATGATTTTCTTTTTTTTTTTTTTTATGATTTTCTTTTAAAATTAGGAAGGGGCACCTGGGTGAGTCAGTTGGTTAAGTTTCTGCCTTTGGCTCAGGTCATGATCCTGGGGTCCTTGGGTTGAGCCCCAGTTGGACTTCCTGCTTAGCAGGGAGCCTGCTTCTCCCTCTCCCTCTGTCCCTCCTCCTGCTCATTCTAATAAAATCTTTAAACAAAATTAAAAAATAAAATTAGGAATGCATTTTCTCATTGTTTTCTAGCATCCAACAGTGCAGCTAAAAGTCTAATGCCATTTTGATTCTTGTTCTTTTTTTTTTCCATGACTTTGTTCTTTTTGGCAGATTTGTGGGGTGTCCTCTTTATTTTAAGATTTTATTTATTTATTCATAAGAGACACACACAGAGAGAGAAGCAGAGACATAGGAGAGGGAGAAGCAGGCTCCATGCAAGGAGCCCAATGTGGGACTCAATCCCGGATCCCAGGATCACACCCTGAGCCAAAGGCAGACACTCAACCACTGAGCCACCCAAGTGACCCTGTTATTATAAAGTTTTAAAAAATACTCTTATACATCCAAATTATGTTTCAAAATAATTATTCTGAGAGCTTTTAAATATAATTTCAGTGATGCCAAATTATTTCAAGTATTTTGGGAACTTTGGAGAATTACTTGTAGAGGTCAGAGTTGGGTTTTTTAAAAATATTTTATTTAAATTCAATCTGTCAACATATAGTTGGGTCAGAGTATTTTTATAATTAATGTAGAAATACAGTAAACAGCAATAAACAAACAATTGCATGATACTTTTCTATGAATAAAATGCTTTCACACACAAGATCATTTACTCTTCACCACACACAGAAATTTGGCCAAAGTCATTGAGCCTGTTACAAAAAATAAGCTATTGTTAGATATTTCATTTTTCCAGTTAATCTATCATTGGACATTTAGGTTTTTCTAATTTTTCAGTATTACAAGCATCTCAGAGAAAAAAAAAATGGGTTGAGAATGAGCTGGAAATTAAGGCTATAAAACACCTCACTGGGGACACCTAGTTGGCTCAGCGGTTGAGCATCTGCCTCTGGCTCAGGGCATGGTCCTGGAGTCCAGCGATAGAGTCCCACGTCCAGCTCCCTGCATGGAGCCTGCTTCTCCCTCTGCCTATGTCTCTGCCTCTCTCTCTCTGTGTATCTCTCATGAATGGATAAATTTAAAAATCTTAAAAAAAAAAAAAACAACTGTTTCTTTAAAAAACAAAAACACCTCTCTGTGCACTTCTAAAATTTGCCCATGCCCTCAAGACCTGTATCTGGACAGCTCAATAGTGTTATAGCCCAATATAGTGTTCAGACCCAACTGTTAGGGTAACCAATTCACTTCTGCAGATTCTGTGCTCTCACTGGACAAAGCTAGGGAGTGCCAGAACCAGGGCTAGCATCTCAGTTTCCTGACTCCTAGGCTCTCTCATTGAGAAGAAAAATGGGAGATAAACCAGAGCTCTACACACTGGAAATGAGCCCTCCTAGCTGAGGAGCTGAGGAATATGCATGTGAACCCCTTAGGCAACGAGAACCTTTGAAGCTTTCTGAGCAATGGAGTGACAATAGGGTCCTATAAAAACAAGTTTTAGAAAAATAAGAAGACATAGGTACTTGAAACTATTATACAGGGACACCTGGGTGGCTCAGTGGTTGACTGTCTGCCTTCAGCTCAGGGCATGATCCCAGGGTCCTAGAGTCCCACACAGAGCATGATCCCAGAGTCCCGCATAGGGCTCCCTGTGGGAAGCCTGCTTCTCCCTCAGCTTATGTCTCTGCCTCTCTCTCTCTCTGTCTCTCATGAATAAATAAATAAAATCTTAAAACAAAACAAAGCTTTGAAAAAAAACCAAAAACCTTTATTCAGTTTTACCAGCTTAACCAAATACTTGGTTCCATTTGCAACCTCCTCATCTGTAAAATAGGGACGGTGACAACCAATTTCAGTTACTTTGAGGATGAATTCTGAGAACAGTAGATGGCAAAGTGCTTAGCATATTGCCTAGCACAGTGTAAAAATAAATGGTAGTTGTTATTTATGGGGAAAGTGACAATACTGATGACGGTGATACTATGGGATTAATTGGAAGGGGCAAAACAAGACAGGAAGGCAAGTTACAAAGTCATGTGTGCCTCAATTTAAGTAGTCAGTGAGAATGGAAATAAACATTTTTTTTAAATGAGTTAATTTGTAGGAATGATTTAAATGTCCTTTCAATTATTAGCCTAAGGATGATACCAGGATTCACTTGAAGTTCATTCCCACTCCTCCCATCCCTAACCCCAATTCCCATACAAAGTGACTATGGCATTATGGGGTGGTGGTGATTACAACATCCCCAATAGCACCCTAGGCCCACATGGAAATCTGGGTAACTAGAGCAGTTCCAGCCTCACCCACCTCAAGTTTCAGGCACCACTCCCCACAGGAGACTGAGCTGTGAGCAGCAAGAACAATAAAGCTGAGAACAGATGGTATGGGTCCCTAAGGGAGCTGCCTGCTGTTCAGGGCAGGACTGGACAAACAGCTTGGAGCCCCTCCCCAGCCTTGGGGATGCACTCAGGTTTCTAGGTCCTCCCCAGGAGAAAGGCTGGGGAAGGAACTAGGGGAAACTGATCTCTCAAATAAAGGAAGCTTTCGCTCTTGTCACATTCACAATCCATCTCAAATATCCAGCTCAGTTCTATTAATTCACAGTGAACACAGCCAACCTGAAATTGAATCTTCAAAACCACAGAAGAATTAAGTTACAGGGAGCTTCCATCATAGCCCAGGGTGGCTTTAGAAGAACAAGGATCTGTCCCTCTCCAAGGAAAAGAACTTCTTCTGTATCACTGCAGGGTACCAGAGTACTTGCACTGGGAAGGGGGGCAAGCTGGTGACAAATGGATGTAGAAGTAGTCTGGAAGCTCTAACAGGGCTGCTTTGGATCCTCTGCCTTGCTCCAGGTGCTTAAGGACCACCGTCCCCATGATTCACTTCTGTCTGGCGCACGTGGCATATCATCTGCACTGCTGGCTGCCGAGATCACGCAGGCTCAGGCTGTGAGTGTCCCTCCCCAGCTCACTAGGACAAAAAGCCCATTTCTTCCTAAGATAGTCTTGACATTTAACTAAAATTTACTTTCAATTTTTAAAACATTTTCTTTAATTGAAGTATACTTGACATAATAATCACTTTCTTAAGTTTTAAAAACTAATATGTAAACATTAATGAAACATTTGGGAAACATTAAGCCAATTTTTAAAATGTTAACATTTCAAAAAATAGTTAATTGTCTTTTCTTGTCACATGAAGCGTTCAATGATTAAATCTATGTTGGTTGACTATTAAAATAACATGACTGACTTAACAACTGATCAGAATTTATACCTCTAAAAAGATGCTATTCCTTTCAAAATAGTCATGTTAGGCCTATAACTATATCCTAGTTATAACAATGTGCCATTGCCAGTCTGGGGGTATATTTTTAAATTGTCTTTTTCTTTTTTTTTTTTTTTTAGTACTTTCAATAGGGATAAATCTTTGTCTTTGGAGGACAGATTTGATTTCTATAAATACCCTAAGGTCATTCAGTGCTGAATCTGATTAATGAAATAATCAAAGTAAATAATACAGTTTATGGTAAAGAAAGAGAACTATTAGTTATTGCAGAAGATCTACTTATATGCATGGAAACTATGTACAGGTAATCTCAAAAAGAATTTCAAAAATGAGCAAAAACAGCAGACTTCATTTGATTCTGTAAATTACGGTAGGTAGGTTTACTGTTTATTACACTCAATATGTTACACTCAGTATGAACCATCTGGCCAGAGACAGAGCTAGCACAGCACAGAGGCATGGTTAGGACTCTTGGACCTGGTTCAAAATTCTAGCTCTATCACTACTTGGTGTTTGTCCTTAGATAAGATGCTTCATCTTTCTGAGTCTTGCTTGCCTCATTTATAAAATGGGGAACCACAGTCCCTACCTCACAGGATTTTGTGCATATTTTTTAAAGAGATTTTATTCATTTACTTGAGAGAGAGAGAGAGACCGAGCAGGGACAGGGGGAGTGGGAGAGAATCTCAAGCAGACTCCCCGATGAGCAGAGCCCAACATCGGGCTCAACCAAACCCAACCAGAGGCAAATCCGAGAGTCAGATGCCCAACCAATTGAGCTACCTAGCATCCCGGATTTTGTGCATATTAAATGAGAAAGTGAATAAAAAATGTTTGACATTTTTTTTTAAGATTTATTTATTTATGATAGAGAGAGAGAGAGAGAGGCAGAGACACAGGCAGAGAGAGAAGCAGGCTCCATGCCAGGAGCCCGACATGGGATTCGATCCCAGGACTCCAGGATCGCGCCCTGGGCCAAAGGCAGGTGCGAAACCACTGAGCCACCCAGGGATCCCCAACACATTTGTCTACTAATGATGGCTATTAACTTTTACTAGTGCCTGTGGGTTGTCTTACAACATTATCCTACAGTCATGATAAAGGAACCAAGGTTCTAAAGATTCCTTAATGACCAGTATCAATGGGCAATCCAGGTGGCTCAGCAGTTTAGCACCGCATTCAGTCCAGGGTGTGATCCTGGAGCTCCGGGATCGAGTGCCACGTCAGGCTCCCTGCATAGAGCCTGCTTCTTTCTCTGCCTGTGTCTCTGCCATTCTCTCTCTCTCTCTCTCTCTCTCTCTGTCTCTCATGAATAAATCAATAAAATCTTAAAAAAAAAAAAAAGACCAGTATCAACAGTGCCTGCTACATAGTAGGAGCTCAATAAATGGTAGCTATTATCCTCAGTGAAGTATTATTAGACATAATTTTGCTCTAACAGGATGGATCTCAAGTCATCCTTGTTGTGTTTAAAACTTTATCTCCATGGTATAATGTAATGTTGTTAGAAAAAAGAACCTAAATTTGGTTTCTTGAAGCCATTTCATCACTAACGAAGTAATAAATGTAACTCACTGTGTCCCATGCAGCCAAGTGACAGTGTTCTTGTTTGGGACCATCGCTCTGGTCCTCCAGTTGTATGTTCTGCTAAGGTAAGTTCTTTTACCAGCCAACCTCTCACCTGGCAGCTCAGCATGCCTATCTTACCTCTGGAGACAGGTGGGGTGTGCTCTGCAATTCCTGTTAGGTGTTTAACTGCAGCCTGTCCCATTGTTCTTACCCCTATTATCAATGGTGGTCACCTGCTCCACCTCTTTGAAAAGTCAAAAATCTCAACACAAAAAGAATAGTTGGGATTTGGGCAGACCGAGTTTAACTTAGTCAACACTTATTTCTTGTAGTACTAGAAGCCATTAAATGCGAGACAATAAAGGCACCAAGGTTATAATTTATGGATTTTCTAGAGACCAGTCCTGACAGCCTAGCATGAGTTATGAGTTAACTGTCTCCAGGGCTGAGGGTGACACAGGCATATGTGACCAGATTATGACCTGACATATTATTTCAGATTCTATGGAGGACATTAGCCTTGGCAGAAAAAGTCAGCTAATAACTGAACAAATGAAGCACATGCCATTTGATACATTCAAAATTTTAAAATTGCAGCTCTAAAAATGTGGAAATTCCAAAACAATCTGAAAATCCACTTAAGTGACAAGAAAGAAAGGGAAATTGTGACACTCACTGTAATTAGCCTAATTTAAACTTGCCAATGTCTGTCATAGGAGTTTTGTGTGCAGTAAGGCCTACTTCCTTACTCCAGAAGGCCAGAATTTCCACAATGTATTTTCTCACCAAAATAACCAGTTAACATGAATTAGAAAAATGGTAAACATTATTCATCCACCAACTGTAAATATTAACAACTCTTCATGTTACTTGGGGGCTGTTTTCACACTATTAATTTGCAGTCATGTAAAGGAACCAAGGTTCGTGAGTTGCCTGGAGCCAAATGAACCTTGGGCCAGAATTAGGATTAGAATTCAAGGGTTAGTGCCTTCTGTATTTTGCTTATAGAGTAAATTTCTTCCAGTAATAGATAAATTACTTAGATGACCCAGTGTATTGATTTTAGGCCCAGATCTTCCCGATATTGCAGGCAACCTCTCCTTACCAACCTGGTTGGTAATATCATCTTTACTTTCTTCACAATTGGTAAGTGTGCGTTTATTATTAAGTACTTATTAAGTGCCTATTATTTGCCAGACACTGCCAAAACAAAAATGTATAAGATAGGACCTCCTGCCCCTTTGGGAGCTCAGACTGAAACTTAGGAAAAAATTCACATTTAAAATTCAGGTGAAAGGACGCCTGGGTGGCTCAGTGGTTGAGCATCTGCTTTAGGCTCAGGTTGTGATTCTGGGGTCCTGGGAACGAGTCCCGCAGGGAGCCTGTTTCTCCCCCTGCTGTGTCTCTGCCTCTGTCTCTCATGAATAAATAAATAAAATCTTTTAAAAAATAAAATAATAGGGATCCCTGGGTGGCTCAGCGGTTGAGCGTCTGCCTTCGGCTCAGGGCATGATCCTGGGGTCCTGGGATCAAGTCCCACATCAGGGTCCCTGCTTGGAGCCTGTTTCTCCCTCTGCCTGTGTCTCTGCCCTTCTCTCTCTCTCCTCCCTCTGCCTGTGTCTCTCATGAAGAAATAAAATCTTAAAAAAAATAAAATAAAATAAAATAATAAATTGAAATTCAGGTGAAGGAAAATTTTTTAAGTTCCTTAGTAACAGTTTTGGTTGTTCTAAAAAAAATTTTTTTAAGATTTATTTATTTATTTATTTATTTATTTATTCATTCATTCATTCATTCATGAGAGATACAGACAAAGAGGCAGAGACAGAGAAAAGCAGGCTCCATGCAGAGAGACTGATGTGGGACTTGATCCTAGGTCTCCAGGATCATGCCCTGGGCCAAAGACAGGCACCAAACCTCTGAGCCACCGAGGCATCCCTGGTTGTTCTAAAATTTGAGTATGAAACTAAACTAAGTTAAATACAACTACGCTGTGTTGGTATTATAAAATTCTTTAGTTATAAAAAAATACCAGATTCATTTATTCATTTAATAAATGATTACTGGACAGAATACTGTATTGAAAACCAGGGACAATTTGAAATGCATAAAGTGACAGAGAAGTGTTGGACTCTAAAATGTGAGGTTTTAGGAATATCTTAATAATCTACATTTTGATTACATTTTCTATGTGTGTACTTCTAAGAGTAATGCCTGATTTAAATAAAAACGATGTCCAAGATTTTTTTTTTAAGGATTTATTTTAGAGAGAGAGTGTGTACACATGCACACAGGGGTGGAGGTGGAAGGGTAGAGTGAGAGGGAGAGAAGCAGACTCACCAATGAGTGTGGACCCCCACACAAGGCTCTATCTCAGGACCCTGAGAAAATGATCTGAGCTGAAATCAAGAATCAGACACTTAACCAACTGAGCCACTCAGGCACCCCTAAAATTTTTTTAAGGTTTTATTTTTTTAAGTAATCTCTACACCCAACATGGGGCTCGAACACACAACCACAAGATCAAGAGTCACGTGTTCACCAACTGAGCCAGCCAGGTGCCTCTAAATTTTTTTAATGAAAAAATAGCCATTGAGGGGCACCTGGGTGGCTCAGTTACACATCTGACTCTTGATCTCAGCTCAGGTCTTGATTTCAGGGTTGTGAGTTCAAGCTGTGCACTGGGTTCAGTACTGGGCTCCACATTGGGCATGGAGCCTACTTAAAAAAAAAAAAAAGGTACTGAATGCCTCAGGCACTGTTCTAGAATCTCCTGCTGAATCCCAGTTGAACAAGAGGCAACATATGTGATGGTAGAAAGTACTAGCTTTGGAAACAGAGGAAGGCCAGTTGAAACATTCACTCCACAACAACAGGAGTTACCTAATTTCTCTGAGCTTCCTGATCCTCATTTATAAAAGGGAAATAAAAGGTTGCCCGCTGGGTGCTCAGTTGATCAAGCATCCAACTCTTGGTTTCGGCTCAGGTCATGATCTCAGGGGTCATGGGATTGAGCCCTCTTAGCAGGGAGTTTGCTTGGGATTCTCTCTTGTTCTTCCTCTGTCCCTCCCCCTCTACATATGCATGCATACGCTCTCTAAAATAAATAAATCTTAAAAACATAAAATATAAAGTGGAGAGAAAAATACCTGTTCAGTTTTGCTAAAGTTCAAATGAGACAATGAAATCATGAAAAAAGCAATCAGAGTTCTCATCATTCAATGCCAATAATGAGAACACAACCCCAGGTCAAAGGGAAAACCTTAGCCTGGCTAGGTTTTGAGCATGTGTCCCACGGGAGTGAAGCAAGGGAACATCCCCTATCGAGGTTTGCATTCAAGAATTTCTTTCTGAGATAATTACATCCAGTAAATGGATGCTGTTCTGCTGTCTTTCTAGGTTTTACTGTGCTGCTTACGCAGATGGAACCAGTCCCGCAAGCACTAAAGAGGATATTTGCTGTATTTGGTGTGGGATCCTTTGGTGAAGGAGTCTGTACCATGGTGTTAACAGTTTTGGCAACTGACTGTGTGTGTTGTTAAATAATGAAATTTCTCAACGGCTCATCTTACTCTGAAACTGTGTCTGTATATAATACATCATCAATCTTCAATATTTATTTTCTCCTCACACTAAAAATAGAGATATGTAGAGACAAAATTCCCTTTATTTTTAATAATTTTTTATTTATTTATGATAGAGAGAGAGAGAGAGAGAGAGGCAGAGACACAGGCAGAGGGAGAAGCAGGCTCCATGCACCAGGAGCCCGATGTGGGATTTGATCCCGGGTCTCCAGGATCGCGCCCTGGGTCAAAGGCAGGCGCCAAACCGCTGCGCCACCCAGGGATCCTTTTTTTTTTTTTTTAAATAAACTTTTATTTATTTATGATAGTCACACACACACACAGAGAGAGAGAGAGAGAGAGAGAGAGGCAGAGACACAGGCAGAGGGAGAAGCAGGCTCCATGCACCGGGAGCCTGACGCAAAATTCATAATTAGACAAACATCACAGTTAAAATATTTCACCAGAGAAAGTTTAAAAATTCCATGAGAAATTTTTCTTTTTGTGGGGTGAATTCCACTTTACTAGACTTTAAAAAAAAAAAGTAAGCTATCAATCAACAGTGGAAGTGCTGGATTGCATTTGGTGCAGTAAGCCTTCCATGTCTTGCTAAGCTGGTGCCATTGTTTAAATTCTTTTGGCGGGCAGCAGGGGTGGCTCAGTGGTTTAGTGCCGCCTTCAGCCCAGGGCATGATCCTGGAGACCCAGGATCAAGTCCCACGCCAGGCTCCCTGCATGGAGCCTGCTTCTCCCTCTGCCTGTGTCTCTGCCTCTCTCTGTCTCTCATGAATAAATAAATAAAATCTTTAAAAAAATAAATCCTTTTGGCAAAAATATTATAAATATAGGTTCCAATTAAAAGACAAATATTCCTCACAGTGCTTTTTTCCTCCCAAATATAGGAAAAAACAACCCCTGAACTTTACTACTTATCTGTGCTGCTGTCAGTGAGCAGCTTGGTTTCTACAGGTAAGCACAACTTCCCAAATAATCCATCCTTGTCAAAAGCTTACCAGTCCTTCTGGGAAGTAACTGCTCAACTAGGGTTGTCACATTGCAAAGAGAAGCCCTGGATCCTCTCAAAGCAAGAGCTCCAAGAAGCGAGACACCTGAGTGGCTCAGCAGTTAAGCATCCGCCTTCAGCTCAGGTCATGATCCCAGGGTCCTGGGATCGAGTCCCACATTAGGCTCCCCGCAGGAGCCTGGTTCTCTCCCTCTGCCTGTATCTCTGCCTCTCTCTGTGTCTCTCATAAATAAGTAAAATCCTTAAAAGAAAAAAAAAAAAGAGCTCTAAGAAACAAAGGAACATAAAAAAAGACAAAATAATACAGAGGGTTAGAATGGGAAATAAAAAGCCATCCTTTTCACGTGATCTCCAATCCATTTAATTAGATCTCATTTTTCATCCTGCAGTGCTTTTCTCAGGCCTGGGGCTGATCTGGCTGGGCAGTGTGGCCTGTGCACAACCTGACACTAAACCAATGGTCTGACACTGGCAGGTGAGCCCTCCAGTCTCCTGCCTCACACAGATGTCTTCAGCAGGTTAGCCTGTCCCAGCAGCTCTGCCACCTGACTGCTGTCAGCAAGTAGGAGATCATCTCTTACCCTGCTACTCCTGAGTGAAATGGTCAGCTGACATCAGAGCTACAATTACAAGCATATCAAAACCAGTGGAAAGAAAGTTGTCTTTTAAGTATCAATTAGTACTGACAATGTGTAAAACGGAACAGTTCAATCCAAACACCAGACTGACATCATAACCAAATTCACCCCAAATAAAGATATTCTATTAAATACTTTGAAGATCATGACGCTTTCTGAACGTTTTTTGTTTTATGAAAGTATTATTATCAGGTGGGTGGCTGCTATAGAAATAAGCATTGAAAAGGAAGAACGGAAATATAAATCTTAGTAATGAACAAAGGTTTAGGTTTAGTTTCAAAAGAATACAGTGATTCAGATGGTGTATCTGAACAATTTATTGTTCTTTAAAAATATAGTGGGAAATTTTAGAGTAAAAATAACCACAATCTCTGCCATATGGGTGACAACAATCTTCTGCATCATGACGTCAAGGCTCTCTAGAGAAAATAACCAACTGACCCACGTGACGTTCATTTTCTTGCTTTTTCTGCGTGTATTCACAGATTCTGAATCATTATAAGTAGGAACCATTTAATAATAGATGTTCTCAATGTTTTTAAGAAGTGGAGACAACTGTTTTTTGAGAAAAAGAACTATCTATTGGCAGGAGGATCAAATTCAATACAAACATCTCCCAACACATCTATGACAAGTGGGAAAGACTGTTCTCCACCTGCCCCCCCTTTTTTTTAAGGTTTTATTTATTTACTCATGAGAGACACAAGAGAGAAAGAAAGGCAGAGACATAGGCAGAGAGAGAAGCAGGCTCCATACAGGGAGCCCGATGTGGGACTTGATCCCAGGACTCCAGGATCATGCCCTGGGCCAGGCGCTAAACCTAAACCACTGAGCCACCCAGGAGGAGAGGTAGAATTCTAAATAGGGTGCTCAGGAAAGGCCTCGACTAGGGACACATGAGCAAAGAATTTAAAAAGAAAAGGGAGTGAGCCATGCAGATTTCTGAAAGAAAAAGTTAACTGTGCAAAAGCCCTCAGGCAGAAGCCATGCTCCAGGAGAAAACCAGAATGGCTGAGTCAGAGTTAACAGGGGAAAAGAGTAGCAGATATAGTCAAAGAGGTGAAAGGAAACCACAGCAGGTTTTTTTTTTAATAAAGATTTTTATTTATTTATTCATGAGAGACAGAGAGAGGCAACAGACACAGGCAGACAGAGGAGAAGCAGGCTCCATGCAAGGAGCCAGAACCCCGGGATCATGCCCTGAACCAAAGGCAGACGCTCAACCACTGAGCCACTCAGGCGTCCCCACTGCGGGTTTTGAGCAAAAGAGTGACATGATCTAACATACTTTTAAAGGATCTTTTTGGTTGCTGAAGTTGAGAACAGAATGTAGAGAGAAATAAAGGTGGAACCAAGGAGACCTGACAGGAAGCTACTCCAGTTAGGCAGGTGAGAGTTGATGCTGACTCCGACCAGGGTGTCAGCAGCAGAAGTGGTGACAAGACACTAGAATCTCAAAATATTATAAACATAGAGCCAATGTGATTGATGATGAATGGAATGTGGGCTGTGAGACAAAGAGGAGTCAAGGATGACTCCAAAAATGTCTGGCCAGTGAGGAAGACATGCAACTCTTGATCTTAGGGTTGTGAGTTCGAGCCCCATGTTGTGTATAGAGCCAGCCAGGTGCTCCTACCATCCTTTTTAAACAAACATGAGAAAACAAAAGCTAAAAGAGGCTGCTTAACTTGCTCAAGATCTCACAGTTTGTGTAACAACCTTCACTCTAAAAATTCATGCTTTAACCATGACATAAGACTTACAATAGTACAAACTATCTACTGGTAGACATTTGAAAGAGATCCACATGTTCGGAGAGCCTTTGGCTCCTATACTTCTTTCTTTTTTTTTTTTTTTTTTAAGATTTTATTTACTTGGGATCCCTGGGTGGCGCAGCGGTTTGGCGCCTGCCTTTGGCCCAGGGCGCGATCCTGGAGACCCGGGATCGAGTCCCACATCGGGCTCCCGGTGCGTGGAGCCTGCTTCTCCCTCTGCCTGTGTCTCTGCCTCTCTCTCTCCCCCCGTGACTATCATAAATAAATAAAAATAAAAATTAAAAGAAAAAATTAAAAAAAAAAAAAAAGATTTTATTTACTTACTTGAGAGAGAGCAGGAGCACAAGAGTGAGAGGGGTCGAGGAGGATAGAGAGAAGCAGACTCTCCACTGAGCAGGGAGCCTAATGCAGGGCTCAATCCCAGGAACTTGGGTTCATGACCTGGGCCAAAAGCAGATGCTTAACAGACTGAGCCACCCAAGAGCCCCTTTCTTTTTTTCTTTCTTTCTTTCTTTCTTTCTTTTTTTTTTTGGATTTATTTTATTTACTTATTTCAGAGACAGAGAAGGCAGAAGGGAGGGAGGGAGAGTGCACATGCATGTGTGGGTTGGGGCAGAGGGAGAGGATCTCAAGCTGATTCCAAGTTAAGTGTGGAGCCCAACACAGGGTCCATCTCACGACCCTGAGATCATGACCTGAGCTGAAATCAAGGGTCGGCCTCTCAACTGACTGAGCCACCTCCGTGCCTCAGGCTAATGTCCTTCCAGTTAACCACTCAAGCTTTATCTGTCCCAGCATTTTCCCTACCTAGTTGGAGCAACTTGCACTCTCTGGGCTCCCATCCCAAGTCCAAGTTAAAATGTCCTAAACTCCAGGGCACCTGGGTGGTTCAGTTGGTTAAGTGTCCAACTCTTGGTTTCAGCTCAGGTTGTGATCTCAGAGTCGTGGGATTGAGCCCCATAGACTCCACGCTTGGCATGCAGTCTGCTTGAGTTTCTCTCTCCCTCTCCCTCTGCCCCTACTGCTCATGTTCTCTCTCTCCAATAAATAAATCTTTTTTTTTTAAAGATTGTATTTATTTATTCATGAGAGACACAGAGAGAGACAGAGAGAAGCAGAGACACAGGCCGAGGGAGAAGCAGGCTCCATGCAGGGAGCCCGATGTGGGACTCAATCCTAGGACCCCAGGATCACGCCCTGGGCTGAAGGCAAGCGCTAAACCGCTGAGCCACCCAGGGATCCACTAAATAAATCTTAAAAAAATAAATAAAAAAAAAAAGAGTGTTAAATGTCCCAAACTGCTCCAGTTATTTCTGGTTTCCCAGTTATGATTCCCACCCAGCTCTGAAGTTATTTCCCCCAATGCTCTCTCTCCAGTGACTACCTATATAACATGTTATTCCTCTTTTTCCAGCGTCTTCTCTTCCCTCCTCACCCTCCTCCAAAGCCTAGATTCTGTTTTTGTTTGAGAACCAGAACCCAAACCATTTTCTCTTACTTACACACTGGGAATACTTTTTCATTATCCTTGAACTCTAGACAAGAATCCAGGGAACACCCTAAGCAGAGAAGTGCCGAATCAGACTAAGTCACCAAGAAAGAAGAGCAGGCAAACAGAACGCCTGGGTCAGCACAGCTCTGATGATAGCACATAAATGCCTGAAGAGAACACATACCGTCATAACCAAAATTAGGGGAAGTACACAATAAGAAAACGTTTGTTTAGCAAGTTCTTCAAATGCTAAAGCAAAGAAGCATATTTTTTTCAGTGTGCTTTGCTTTGGCACTGACCCTGTCTGTCCCTGAGAGATCTGCGTTACTGAAAGCCTGGATGTGTCCACACATATTTACCGTTATCAAAACGAGACCTGATGACAGTAGCACAGCAGTCACTTACTTTCACAAAGGAAATTCTGTGGACCTGAAGTGTTGTGCAAGGTGGGTCACTGGAACCATTCCCACCACAGCAAAGGCTTCTTGGAGCTGGGCCAGAACCAGGGTTTCACAGCAGAACTCTAACTCTGAAAAACAACACAGGGGGGGTGCCTGAATGGGTTGGTGGGTGAAGCCTCTGCCTTTGGCTGAGGTCATGATCCTCAAATCCCAGGATCGAGCCCCACATGGAGTTCCCTGCTCAGTAGGGAGTCTGCTTCGTTCTCTTCCTCTGCCCGTCCCCCAGCTTGTGCTAACGAATAATAATAATAATAATAATAATAATAATAATAATAATTTAAAAATCTTTTTAAAAAATAGAGAAAAATAAGAAGCCCAAGGATCAGAACTAGGGAAGTAATTCATTGTGGTCGACTTCCCTGGGAACTTTAGTTGGAAGGAAGTCTGGAGGAGTCGGGGGCTGAAAGAGAACGAGCCCAACTAGCCAGCCCCACGACGTCTGGGGACCTGGGACTCGGGGGACCTGGGACTCGGGGGGCCGCGGGCGAGGGGAGCGTTTCCGCCCAGTTTCCCGGTAACTTTCCAAGCTGCCCAACGGCCGGCGGTGCCCTCAGGGGCGTGAGCGCCAAACCCCGTCTCTACGGATTTGCAAAGACGGATTTCCGAGGAAAGAGGAGGGAAAGAGAAGTCCTTCGGGACGGAACACTTCCTCCTCCGTCCCCGCCCACCTCCGCCACGCTCAAGGAGCCTCTGGAAAGGGATCTTTTCCCATTTTCCAGGGTGAGTCACCTGTTCGAAAGAGAAACTACCGAAGATGTGGGCTCCCCAGAAGGATGGAAAGACGAGGCGCGGGACTCCTTGTCCTAAACCTGACTACGACCTTGCCTCGAGGACCGCTATTTCTGCCCCTCAAGGACGCCACCATCTCGGGGTCCCCCAAGCCTGCGAGGGAGGGACCTGCGCCGACTCCCCAGAGCCAGGTCTCTCAGGGGCTCCGGCCCGCAGGGGGCTTACCACGTCCTGGGGCCCACCCGCCCGAACCCTCCGGGAGAGACGCCGCGCAGCACGGACGCCAGACTGAGCAACACCCGTGGCCGCACCCTCATTGGCTCCCGGAGGCCGGAAGTGCATGCGTCCGCCGGAAGTGTTCCTACTGCGAGCGTCCGCCAGGCCGGGACCCTCAGGTAGGCGGGGCCCCTGCCTCCGAAGTCCCGGCACCGGGCCGTGGCCCGGGCGGGGCGGGGACCCCGAGGGCCCCAGGAGGTTGTCCGGGTTCTGGTCCCGGAGGTCCGGAGGAGTTTCGGGGGCGGGGGCTCGTGGCGGCCTCTGGTGGCAGCCGGGGCCTAATCGAGCCCGGCGGCCGCAGCCCCCCAGTGCGGGAGCCCCGAGTTCCCGGGTGGAGACAGGGTCTGGGGGGTTCGGGGCGGTGGCCGGAGCCGCCCCCTGCCTGCGGCGCGCCGGGATGGCTGAGGTCCGTAGCCGCTCGGGTCCAGGCGGGAAAACGTGTGCCCTTCGCCCTGGTCGTGTCGGTGCTCCTGGCTTTGCCCTCCAGTCACCTGGGGGTGCAGGGTTATCCTCAGGGACACCCCAGAAAGGCTGCCCAAGGCGCAGTCGCGGGGAAGACGGCTCCCCTCCCTCCTGGCCCGGCTCCCCTCTCCCCCAGAAGAGGAGGGTGTGCTTCCGGGGCGGGGCTGCTCCCGTGGAAGGTACCTGGACCGCTTTAGGCTAGTGCGTGCGGAGTCAAGGAAACTACTTGCTAATGGTTTCCGACTCCCCAGCTAGCTCCACCTCCCAGTGGTTTGGACTTTGAGCCTCTAGTAAGTCCTGATGAACGATTTCGCTTTGCTCAAGCTCATGACTCTTGGACCTTCAGCAGCGGGAGGTTTATGCACTTTGGGGCGGGTCGACAGCCTGCAGAGTTCAAAGTACTGAGAGACCAGGTGAGCATGAAGGAGGATCTCCCAGTCCGGATTCCGGTTTTTGAGGGTCCTTTCGGCTGTTTCTGCCAAAGGTGCACCGCCTTTATTGGATACTAGGTGGTGCCAGCGAGTTAATCTTTCTGGAATAAATTTCACCTAACGGACAGCGCCAAGACAAGGCTTTCAAAGTGCCCATCAGCCCAGAAATGCTTTTAAAATAGTTTAACCGGGATCCCTGGGTGGCGCAGCGGTTTAGTGTCTGCCTCTGACCCAGGGCGTGATCCTGGAGACCCAAGATCGAGTCCCACATCGGGCTCCCTGCAGGGAGCCTGCTTCTCCCTCTGTCTGTGTCTCTGCCTCTCTCTGTATCTCACGAATGAATAAATAAAACCTTAAAAAAAAAAAGAATGAAAACGAATCTTTTAATGAGTCTTTTTATAAAGCATTTGATCTGTTTCTGTCTAAAACTGTTTTTCAACATTCAAATTTGTTTAAAGTAAAATGGACTAATCGTGAAGATTTCTAATTAACTTGTCAAGTCACTTAGAAATACTGCCAGGCTTTTTGGTGGGATGTTACTAGTATATGAGTTTAAGCTTTTTATTTTTTTTTTTAGTTTAAACTTTTATATGTAAAATGAAATTCTCTTTGCACAACCATCTTTCCCACACCTATAGCTCAGAAAGAGTATAGCCCGTTTTAAATCATACTGGTTTGTTGAATCATTTCAGATAACCAAATATATACTGTATGTGCGCTTGTTGTTCTACTTAGAGATCAAAATGGCTTCCAGAGGAAAGACAGAGACAAGCAAATTAAAGCAGAATTTAGAAGAACAATTGGATAGACTAATGCAGCAATTACAAGATCTGGAGGAATGCAGGTAATAGCATAACTGAATGCCTCTCTGCTGTCAAGTGGCTTTTTTCTGCAGCTAGATTACAAGCTGTGGGTGCAAGCCCATGTGTGATTTTGGTTTCCCCTATAGCGCTTTGTCTGTTGGAGAAATAAACTCAGTGTGAGTTTGGAGTCATAAAGGTAACCCTTTTAGTTTCCATTTCCTTGAGTGCGAAGTAGAAATAGTAACACCGGGATCCCTGGGTGGCGCAGCGGTTTAGCGCCTGCCTTTGGCCCAGGGCGCGATCCTGGAGACCCGGGATCGAATCCCACATCGGGCTCCCGGTGCATGGAGCCTGCTTCTCCCTCTGCCTGTGTCTCTGCCTCTTTCTCTCTCTGTGTGACTATCATAAATAAATAAAAGAAAATTAAAAAAAAAAAAAAAAGAAATAGTAACACCTACCTTGTCTTCAGTACGTAAAATAGCCCTGCCTGGTATATACTTGAACTTCTAATGTATTTTCAGCCTTAACTGTTCAAAGGACCAAAATTGCTCATTGCCTTTTTTAACAACTTTGAAAGGTTGTTGTAGGTATTTCAAATGAAGAGGCCAAACAAGGCTTGGCCTAGAGTAGGTGCTCAATAAATGGTAGCTGTCATTATTTGTAGGAAATGTTTAATAAATGGCTTGTTCAGTTAGTGAATAAAAATAGCCTCTTACTCAGATGACAGGTACTACATTGCTGTTGTATTTCACGGTACACAAAATTTTACCTACCATTAGTAATGATAAAAGTAACAGCTATTTTGTCAAGTACCTGTTGTTTGTCAAGGACCTTCCAGAGTTCATGTAATGCTCATAGCAACCCTAGGAGGTAGGTACTATCATTATCTGTGGCTTATAGATCAAGAAACTGAGACTTGGCTGTGTTAGGTATCTTGCCCAAGGTTATGCATTGATTCATAGACTGCTTAAAAGGAAGTTATTATGTGGTTTGTTAAATGTGCCTCATTTTGGTAAAAGAAAAGTGTTTAATTATCAAAGTAACCACATGGCAGGAAAACGCCCATACTACTAACATCTGAACACATCCATTATTAGCATTTTGTTATTTCCTTTCAGCCTTGTCCCCCAAGATACTTTTTGTAAATATATGTATCAAAAGTCTTAGGCTACAAATATTAAGATTGCTTTTTTCACTTGGAACGCTTGTGTTTTTCTATATTATGTTCACTGTACTTCAGAGAAGAACTTGATGCAGATGAATATGAGGAAACCAAAAAGGAAACTCTGGAGCAACTAAGTGAATTTAATGATTCACTGAAGAAAATTATGTCTGGAAATATGACTTTGGTGGATGAGCTAAGTGGAATGCAACTGGTAAGCATAATTCACTTAAACTGGTGAGACAAGTGGTTTTTCTCTCTTTTTTTTATATTTAAGATAGAAAAGAAACTTTGTTTTTGGGTTTGACTTCTAGATAACTTCTACTTATGGATAAAGCAGCATAGGCTTCCAGATCTTCATTTAGTTATGTATTTGGCTCCAGTAACATGCATATAAATAGCAAATGGACACTATTTTTTTTTAATTTAACTATTAGATAGTTAACATACAGTGCAGCATTGGTTTCTGGAATAGAATTCAGTAATTAACACTTACAGACAACACCCAGCGCTCATCATAAGTGCCCTCCTTAATATCCATCACCCAGCTAGCCCATCCTCCTCCCCCATCAACCCTCAGTTTGTTCTCTATTATTAAGAGTCTTGTTTTGCCTCTCTTGTTTGTTTGTTTGCCTCTCTCTTTTTTTTCTTTTCCCCCTTCCCATATGTTCATCTGTTTTCTTTCTTAAATTCTGCATGAGTAAAATCACGTGGTATTTGTCTTTCTCTAACTTATTTCACTTAGCATAATATACTCTAGCTCTATCCACATCATTGCAAATGGCAAGATTTCATTCTTTTTGATAGCTGAGTAATACTCCAGTGTGTGTGTGTGTGTGTGTGTGTGTGTGTGTGTGTGTATTTACACACACATATACATACATAGATACCAAATCCTTTTTTCATTCATCGGTCGGTGGATATTTGGGCTCTCTCCATAGTTTGGCTATTGTTGCTAATGCTGCTCTACATATAGGGTTACGTGTACCCCTGCAAATCTGTATTTTGTGTCCTTTGGGTAAATACCTAGTATTGCAATTGCTAGATCATAGGGTAGTTCTATTTTTAACATTTTGAGGAACTTCCATACTATTCTCCAGAGTGGCTAGACCAGTTTCCATTCCTACCAACAGTGCAGCAGGGTTCCCCTTTCTCCACATCCTTGCCAACATCTATTGTTTCTTGTGTTGTTAATTTTAGCCATTCTGACACGTGTGAGATAGTATCTCATTGTGGTTTTGATTTATATGTCCCTGATATGAGTGATATTAAGCATCTTTTCATGTGTCTGTTAGCTGTCTGGATGTCTTCTTCGGAAAAGTGTCTATTCATGTCCTCAGCCATTTCTTAACTGGGTTACTTGGTTTTGGGTGTTGAGTTTGATAAGTTCTTTGTAGATTTTGGACACTAACCCTAATCATCGGTATGTTGTTTGCAAATATCTCCCATTCCATAGGCAGCCTTCTAGGTTTTTTTTTAGATTTTATTCATTTATTCATGAGAGACGCAGAGGGAGAAGCAGGCTCCATACAGGAGCCTGATGCAGAACTCGATCCCAGAACTCTGGGATCACATCCCAAGCCAAAGGCAAAAGCTCAACTGCTCAGGCACCCAGGTGTCCCAGCCTTCTAGTTTTGTTGATTCTTTCCTTTTTTTTTTTTTTTTTTAAGATTTTATTTATTCATGAGAAACACAAAGAGAGGCAGACACACAGGCAGAGGGAGAAGCAGGCTCCATGCAGGGAGCCCGACGTGGGACCCGATCCCAGGCCTCCAGGATCACATCTTGGGTCAAAGGCTGGCGCTAAACCGCTGAGCCACCCAGGGATCCCCTGTTAATTCTTTCCTTTGCTGTGCAGAAGCTTTTTATCTTGATGAAGTCCCAGTAGTTCATTTTTGCTTTTGTGGAAACTAAGATTATAACAGTGTTTGATGACCAAGGAAGACCTATTTGTAATTGAAGACCCATCAATCAGTTATCGTAATATCTGAATCTTTGGAGTATTTTGCTCAGTTTCTACCTCCTTGTATTCTAGGCTATCCAGGCAGCTATCAGCCAGGCCTTTAAAACTCCAGAGGTCATCAGGTTATTTGCAAAGAAACAACCAGGTCAGCTTCGGACAAGGTTAGCAGAGGTAAAGTTTCTTTAAATTGATTTAATTGCTGTGTGTATTTCTTTTCTCAGCTCCCAAATTTCATTATGTTACTCTGAAGTTTAAAAATTGATCAGTTGAGAATGTACACCACCACTAAGAGTGAACCCTAATGTGTAGACTGTGGAATTGGGGGATTATGATGTGTCAGGGTAGGTTCATCTGTTGTAAGAAATGCACCACTGGGGGATGTTTATGATGGAGAGGCTGTGCGCAGGCGGCGGTGGGGGGGGGGGGGCAATGAAGGATATATGGGAAATCTTTGTACCATTTACACAATTTACTGTGAACCTAAAACTGCTCTGAAAAATAGCCTGTTACCGAAAGGATTGATCAGTTGATTTTTTAAAAAGATTTGTTTATTTATTAGAGAGAAAGAGAGAACGTGTAAGGAGGGGCAGAGGGAGAGGGAGAGAGAAACTTTAGCAGACTCCTCTGAGCTCCAAGCCCAACAGTGCAGGGCTTGATCTCATGACCCTGAGATCATGACTGAAGCTAAAACCAAGTGTTGGACCCTTAATCGTGCAGGCAAGGGCCCCTGATCAGTTAATTTAGAGCCACAACCCACCGTTTTCTGACAAAATTAGTCTTTTGAGCAATTATTGTTAACGAATATAGAGGTTTAATAGCATATGACAGTTTAAACTCCTTCTACATGGATGCCACCTTTAAGGTTTACCATATACTTCTGGAGCCCTGAGATGAAATCCCATCTAGAATCCATTCACGGCATTGCTTTCTGCACATGTGACTTTTGTCATCTAAGAATTTCAAACATTTCTATAAACCTGATACTTGAGAAAATCTGTTTATAGACTTGAATATAATTAAGGCATTAACAAGTTATTTGCCACCACTGGTAGTCCAGTGGTATAGTGGTTGAGAGCATGAACTTGGGTCAGACTGGCAGGATTTGTATCCCTGCTCCACTGTGGAGGCCTGTGATCTTGGGGAAGTTATTTTTAATTGTTTTAATACAAAAATCTTTTTAACAAATATTATTATTACTGAAGTTGGATAAGTTATCTTATTCAACTTCTTTGTGTCTGTTCCCCATGTCTGAAAAGGTGATATTGATAGTCCCTATTTCTTATGGTTGCTATGAAGAGTAAATGAAGTAATATGTATATAATACATACTATGTGTAATATGTAATATATATCAAGTACGTGGACTAGCACCTAGGCATAGTACATGCTATAAGTGTTTGTAATGGTAGAGATGAAATTTAGCCAACATTCCTAGAGACCTGATACCAGTTACCTCATTCAAGCCTGTAGACCACACTTGAGTGTAAGGGAATGAGTTCTTAGAGGATAGCTTCTCTCTAAAGGAAGCTATTGGCCTCCCATTCTGCAATAGAGTTTATAATCAAAACAGTGGTTATGATTAGCATTAAGCTTTATTAGAACTGAGGGACACCTGGCTCGCTCAGTCAGTGGCACATGCAATTCTTATTTTCAAGGTTGTGAGTTTGAGCCCCACACTGGGTGTAGAGATTACTTAAAAAATAAAATCTTAAAAGAAAACAGATTTATTGGAGCTGTGTAATTGCATTGCTGGCATGTTTGCCTTGAATTGTTTCTATAGTTCTCTATATTAATCAGCTAGAGGAACTTTTTTAAGAAGTAGTAGATCTGGGGTGCCTGTGTAGTTCAGTCTTTAAGCATCTGTCGCTTAGTTTCAGCTCAGGTCACAATCTCATGGTTCATGAGATCAAGTCTGCTCAGTAGAGTCTGCTTGAAGATTCTCTCTCTCTGCACCTCCCCCACCTAGTTGAATAAATCTTTAAAAAGAAAAGAAGTAGTAGATCTGGGGGCATCTGGCTGACTTGGTCAGAAGAGTATGCAACTCTTGATCTTAGAGTTGTGAGTTTGAGCCCCATGTTGGGTGTAGAGATTACTTTAAAAAAAAAAAGTCGTAGTAGTAGATCTCAAAAGCTGGATTTTACGAGCAGAATGTTTTTAACTTAAGTACCATATCCTTTGCATTCGTCCATTTCAGATGGATAGAGATCTCATGGTAGGAAAGCTGGAAAGAGGCCTGTATACTCAGCAGAAAGTGGAGATACTAACAGCTCTCAGGAAACTTGGAGAGAAGGTACCTCTATTTAATTTAATATATTAGAGATAAAGAAAAGGTATAATGAATTTTGTACTGAACTTCTTGATCTGTGATCCAGCTTGTAGTCCTGAGACATTCTTAATGGTGTTTCTTAGGACCACTTATGAACATTTAAATCCACTCCCTTGAGCCTTGTTTTGTTTTGTTTAGCTGACTGCAGATGATGAGGCCTTCTTGTCAGCAAATGCAGGTGCTATACTCAGTCAATTTGAGAAAGTCTCTACGGACCTTGGTGAGTACCCTTATATTTCTGAAAACTGAGCATGCATTGCTCTATCTCACCTATGAGTGAGATAATAGGATGGCCTTTTCTTGAGTTTGGAGGTAAAACCAGAAGTATGTTATTGAGTTTATTTCCTAATACTTTTTGATTAAAAATAATTAAGTTAATATATTACTATATTAATGATAATTAAATTAATATATTACTAAGATATTAACATTTAAAAATATTTGTCAACTAAATATAAATGTATATATAAAAACAAATTACTCTAAAATTTTATATATTCTATTTCACATTTAAAACTAGAGTAACGGGCAGCCCCGGTGGCTCAGCGGTTTAGCGCCGCCTTCAGTCCAGGGTGTGATCCTGGAGACCCGGGATCAAGTCCCAGGTCAAGCTCCCTGCATGGAGCCTGCTTCTCCCTCTGCCTGTGTCTCTGCCTCTCTCTCTCTCTCTCTCTCTCTCTCTCTCTCTCTCTCTCTCTCCTTGTGTCTCCCATGAATAAATAAATAAAATCTTAGAAGAAGAAAGAAAGAAAGAAAGAAAGAAAGAAAGAAGAAAGAAAGAAAGAAAGGAAAGAAGAAAGAAAGAAAGAAAGAAAGAAAGAAAGAAAGAAGAAGAAGAAAGAAAAGAAAGAAAGAGGGATCCCTGGGTGGCGCAGCGGTTTGGCGCCTGCCTTTGGCCCAGGGCGCGATCCTGGAGACCCGGGATCGAATCCCACGTCGGGCTCCCGGTACATGGAGCCTGCTTCTCCCTCTGCCTGTGTCTCTGCCTCTCTCTATCTCTCTCTCTGTGACTATCATAAATAATAATAAATAAAAATTAAAAAAAAATTTAAAAAAAAAAAGAAAGAAAGAAAGAAAGAAAGAAAGAAAGAAAGAAAGAAAGAAAGAAAAGAAAAAGGAAAGAAAAGAAAGATGGGGCAGCCCTGGTGGCGCAGCGGTTTAGCGCTGCCTGCAGCCCAGGGCATGATCCTGGAGACCCTGGATGGAGTCCCACGTCAGGCTCTCTGCATGGAGCCTGCTTCTCCCTCTGCCTGTGTCTCTGCCTCTCTCTGTCTCTATGAATAAATAAATAAAATCTTAGAAAGAAAGAAAGAAAGAAAGAAAGAAAGAAAGAAAGAAAGAAAGAAAGAAAGAAAGAAAGAAAGAAAAAAGAAAGTAAGCTAGAGTAAGGATTTGTTTTGTTTTTAATATTTATTTATTTGTTTATTCATGAGAGACACAGAGAAAGAGGCAGAGACACAGGCAGAGGGAGAAGCGGGCTCCCCACAGGGAGCCCAATGCGAGACTTGATCCTCGGACAGGGAATCATGCCCTGAGCCCAAGGCAGATGCTCAACCACTGAGCCACCCAGGCGTCCCTAGAGTAAGGATTTGTAAGCAATAAATCACTCCATGTATGTGAGATGTTTGGGCTGGGGAAAGGAAATTGGGAATTGGCACTAGGAAGGTTTAGGGGTAATGCTCTGATAATAGAAGCTAATTTTCTTTTCTTTTTAAAGATTTTATTTATTTATTCATGAGAGACACAGAGAGAGAGAGGCAGAGACATAGGCAGAGGGAGAAACAGGCTCCATGCAGGGAGCCGGATGTGGGACTCCATCCCGAGACTCCAGGATCATGCCCTGGGCTGAAGGCAGGCTCTAAACTGCTGAGCCACCCAGGAGTCCATATTTTCTATTTCAGTACCTATGGGATAGATTTTCCCCTCGTTACCTAGAACTGTAAATGTATTTGAAATAACCTTTTGTTTATTATGTGTCTTTCTCCTTAGGCTCTGGAGACAAAGTTCTTGCATTGGCAAGTTTTGAGGTTGAAAAAACAAAAAAATGACATGGTGTGGAGCTTGGGACATTGATCACATTCTTCCTATAAATGGCGTTTGTCTTTAGGGATTTTGAATCACTGCAAAGAAATCAAAAGAGATTCTTGAAATGCACTGATAACCTAAGAAAAGGTGACAGAAAAACATACTTGTGTCTTCTGGTTATACCCTTCATCATTGTGCTTTGTGTAGGGCTGCCTGCCTGAGTCATCCTAGACTTCCTGGGATGAGGGACCCTTTGGACCCTATTCATTATAGCGGTGTGTTTGAGAGAGAGAACAGTAAACGGTTCCTCTGCCTGTTTTTATTAAGCTTCCTTGTTTTTAAGTGCTGATAGTAAATGAAAAGATGTGAACTAATGATTCTTCTCTGTTGATAATTTGTCCCTACTTATTGGATTGAATGGTGTACCAACATCAATAGACCTCATGAGCGGGCATAGAATTTTAGAGATCTAAGTGATCTTAGAAATCATTTTCATTTTATAAACAAGGAAATTGAGGCTCAGAAAGAGCAAGTTGACTTGCTTAAAGTCACATCCAAGACAGAGCTGGTGATAGACCTGGGTGTCCTGACTCTCAGCTTAGGGTCTGTTGAATTTTATTTCTGTATTTTGTGCTGTCTTTAAAAACCAATTAACACAAAAAAAAAAAAAAAAAAAAAAAAAAAAAAAAAACAATTAACACATATTTGGGCAAGTCTGTGTTTATGAAAATTCAATGTCCCAACAGAAAGTTGTCACTAAAGGACCATTCCCCTAGCCTGTAAGGCCTCGGTATGAATGGGGCCCATTGTATCTCTGAGTTTTGAGCTTGGAACAATGGGAGCCCTGTTGAGAGTCTCCTGGAGTAACGTAATTTCCCGCTGTTGTTTCACCAGGAAAGCAATTGAAAGTGGCAGCTAGAGGCCCTCCCTGTGTGTGACCTCTTTGCTGAAACTCAGAAGGTGGGGACTGTAAACTATTATTTACTCTTCAGTTTTTGGAGAAACACAAAATAAGTTATGAGGAAAAGCATACTCTTGAGTGTTTATGTTTCTCTGCATGCTCAAATATATAGATATCCTCATGCATATGTATGTTAGCTTATATTCTAGGCTCTGGCCACTATGTTTTTTCATGTATTTCTCAGTTTTCTTTTTCTTTGCACTTTATACAAATTAAAAACATTTTTAAAGCTTCTTGTATACTGTAAACTCTACTAGGTGCTCTGCCAACTGGACAGATTAGGGACCTCAGCTTCATTAATGCCTTATTTGGAACTTTTAATGGGTAACTTTTTATATATTGGTTTACGATGGTCAAAGACTCATTGAAATTGTAATGAACCAAGAAAAAGCAAATGACCTACAATTCACCTAGGACTTTATGGTCAATCATCATTATTTCATTATTCCTCATTTTTGTTTGTTTGTTTAAGTAATCTCTACACTTAGTATGGAGTTTGAACTCATGATCCCAAGATTAAGAGTTGCATGCTCCTCTGACTAAGCCTGCCAGGCAGGCACCCCTATTCTGCAATTTTTTTTTTCTGAATCAAGGTGAAACTTACTTAACATCAAATCCACCATTTTAAAGTATACTATTCAGAAATGTTTAGTACTTTCACAAATGTTGTGCAACCATCACCATCTCATTCCAAAACATTTTTACCACTCCAAAGGGGACCCCATGCCCATTAAGCAGTCACTCCCCATGCCCTTCTCATCCTAGCCCTCCAGCAACCACTAATCTGCTTTCTATCTCTAGATTTACCAATTCTGAATATTTCATCCCAATGGCATCATACAGTATGTGACCTTTTGTGTCTGGCTTCTTTCACTTAGTATCATATTTTCAAGGTTAATCTAAGTTGTAGCACATGCCATTATTCCATTTAATGGATGAAAATATTTCCTTGTATGGATACCACCTTGTGCTTATCCACTTACCTCTTGAACATTGTTTTTTCCCACTGTTTTTGTTATTGCAAATAGTACTGCTATGAACATTTGTGTATTTGTTTAAATACCTGTTTTCAGCTCTTTTGGGTATATACCTAGAAATGGTATTGCTGTATGTATGTGTGTTTGGGGGGAATTTTTGTTTTGTTTTTAAGCCATAACAAAATTTCCCCTTCCCCTCTAGTAATAGTATAAAGAAAATTAATATTTGGTAGAATAAAGAAAATTAGGAATATTTGGTATTTGAAAGGAACCTAAATGAATCTGGAGTCCTTAATTTTGGTTTCCCTTTCTATAAGATTTTCTATAAGACTAACATCAGTGAAATATTTTGTCATTAATCATGTTAGTGTGTTCATTTTGTAAGTAATGATTAGTATCAACTTAAAATTAATCTTCCTTTAAAAGTTGCAAAGTTAAAAAAAAAAAGTTGCAAAGTTTGCAGTGCCTAGCAAGACCCTGTCATTTATGGCCATCTGACCTTTGGTAGGTTACTTAATCTTTCGAGCCTCATTTTCCTCTTCTGTTCAATGCAGATAAGTGGGTACAACCTACTTACCACATAGGATTTCTGTGGTTTCCCCTCTCACCCTTAATGCAGAAAGAAGTTTTGGAGCTAATCTACCATTTAACAGTGCTTTCAATGGCCATATGATGTATTTTGTTCCACAAATTTGGTATAACTCAAAAATAAATTGAAAAGTGAATAATTTGAAAATTCTGTACATTTACATTTATTAAATGATTTGCAAACTATGTTTCCTGTTCATATTTTACTATATTTAATCTTCTAGTTTTTTACACTTCTTGAGAGGTTTCAGACTGCAATAACTAATGCAAGGCAGCTAACTTTTTGATATCCTTAGGTCAAGCTAATATTTTAATGAGAATTCCTGCATTTTTCAAAGATGGATTGAAGCAGAAGCAAATATATAACTGGGCTGTTTAATGAAAGTTAGTAATTTAATAATAAAACAATTTTTAGGGGCACCTAGCTGGCTCAGTCTTTAGAGTGTGCGACTCTTGATCTCGGGGATGTAAGTTCAAGTCCCACACTACGTATATACATTACTTAAAAATAAAGTATTTTAAAAAGTAAAACAATTTCTGTGTTTCAGTGCTTTATTTTTTCCTGTGAGTTGGTGAGAGAGGTATGCTGGGTGGGTGGTAGAGGAGGAAACCAAGCTGTGGAATGAGCTGTCCCCAGGAAAGAGTTGGAGTTGAGACAGATAGATCATTAACTTTGATTGTTAGGCCTTTTTTGAAGACAAGTCAGCCAAAGAACGGTCATCTTAGGCAAAATAAGAGACTGTACAAGTCTACCACTGGATGGTATCTTATTACAGTGAATGATGGATAGTTTGAAATTATTACAGAAAAAATAAACCCAGACCATTTCAACCACTTTCCTGTTCCTTCCTCCACCCCCGCCCCCCTTACTCTATTCATTACTAAGAATGCTCTTCTTTGCCTCTCAAAATGTTTTTCAGCATTAATATGTAAATTAAAACTGTCAGCATTCACACAGACCCCCAAGAACAAGCCTTAATTGCTTCCAGTCTGTTTGGCCCTGGAATTAAAGAGTTAGAAACTGGGTTAACTAGTATTTAATATTTTCTCTCTTTTTTTTTTTTTGTATTTAATATTTTCTTTAAGTTGGAAGAAACAGGTTAAAAATAAGGCTCTTCTAGATATTCCCCTAGAGTGTAGTCTTTTAACACCCTAACACTTTCTTTCTGAAGTCCCTTTCCCCGCCATAATGCCATTCTAGCAGCAAAGCTCGCCATTGGCCACGTTCTTGAGCTCACAGCGGAGTGTCTGCGGGCCACGCGGAGGACCCGGGAAGTCGAGAGGTTTGTGGCTGCTGGGCTGCCCGTCGGAAGCTTCATAGTGCTTGATTGTTTTCCTCTGGGAAGACCACATTCGTTATGCTCCCAGACAATGGACTGCAATTAAAAACAACTAAAGTAAAAAATTATTTTCTGTAAAGGTGAAGGAGAGTCACCAGCTTTGGGTTTTGTGGTGATTGTTGAGTAAAGAGAAAGATAATGTAGGTAAGGATTCTTTCTAAGATAAATGCGGCAGCCACAGATCCTCTGCTTCTAATTTCTGGCAATCTGGGGAACTTTGGAAGCCTTCCCACAAGAACCTCTAACTTTGTGTTACAGTCATAATTTCAATACATGATTTAAGCGCTTAAGTTACCTCGATTACGTATGTTTAAAACGTGAGTAGTTCAGGTACTATTCTTTGTTAATGCTAAATTGTCATGCGGGGCTCTTCTTTCCTATTAGAGGAGTTTAAGGGTTTTATTTATTTGTCTATCTATCTATTTATGGTTTGTGTGAAAACCTGGTTCCTTCAGGCCTAGCATCACTCCTCAATACTTATAAATCAGGCCAGGTTGAAACTGAGGCAGTTATCTGCACAAGTAATCAAAGAGGTAGGTAATTAGGTAAAAGGCAAGTATTTGGCCTAAATCAGATTATAACCAATTGCTTAAACCCTGTGATTTGACTATGATCTTGCCTTGGGGTACCTGGGTGGCTTAGTAGGTTAAGCGGCTGCCTTTGGCTCAGATCATGATCCCAGAGTCCTGGGATAGAGCCCACGTCAGGCTCCCTACTCAGCGGGGAGTCTGCTTCTCCCTCTCCTACCCCTCCACCTGCTCATGCTCTCTTTCTCTAAATAAGTAAAATCTTTTAAAAGATAATTTAGATTTGGTTTATAAAGTGCTGAGCTTATACTTTTTAAAGATTTTTTTTTTTATGACAGTACAGAGAGAGAGAGAGAGAGGCAGAGACACAGGCAGAGGAAGAAGCAGGCTCCATGCACCAGGAGCCCGATGTGGGATTCGATCCCGGGTCTCCAGGATCGCGCCCCGGGCCAAAGACAGGCGCCAAACCACTGCGCCACCCAGGGATCCCTTAAAGATTTTCTTAATTTATTTATGAGAGACAGAGAGAGAGGCAGAGACATAGGCAGACGGAGAAGTAGGCTCCATGCAGGGAGCCTGATGTGGGACTTGATCCCGGGACCCCTCGGTCACGCCCTGAGCCGAAGGCAGATGCTTAACTGCTGAGCCACCACCCGGGTGTCCCTATACTCTTTTATTTAAATATTTTGTGTCATATTTACTCAGGAAAGGAGCCCCTATACTTTTGGAACAAACAGGTAAAATCTCAGTCCCTTGGCCTTAGTCTTGTGGCCTTTCTTTTCATCCTGTCTTCTAGGAGTATTAGTAGATTGTTCCTCTGCAAGAAAATATGAGCAAGATGGCAGCCCTGGTGGCGCAGCGGTTTAGCGCCGCCTGGAGCCCAGGGCGTGATCCTGGAGACCTTGGATGGAGTCCCACATCAGGCCCTCTGCATGATGCCTGCTTCTCCTTCTGCCTGTGTCTCTGCCTCTCTCTCTCTCTCTCTCTCTCTCTCTCTCTCTCTCTCTGACTCTATGAATAAATAAAATCTTCAAAAAAAAAAAGAAAGAAAATATGAGCAAGATTCTGTATAAAGGAGTACATATAGACATACCAAATCTACTTTCCAGCCTCAGAAAGGAAAACGTGGACTCTGTCTTTGTGAGCTTGGTGGAGAAATGAGGGATGAGTGCATGCTCACTCCTGTGCATGCCTCTCTTCTGGGGTCTGACTGGACCAGTGGCATGTCTGCTCCCATAAGGCACTTACGACCTCCCACAGTGCTGCTCTTGCCAGAGTGGGAGGTTGACTATGCCAGGTTA